GAATCTTAAAAGTCTGCAGATGAATTTGGGAGATCAAGTTAAAAAATCAAAATTTTCAGCATGATTCTTTCCTAAGACAGAATGTTTATATACTTTACTCTGTAGATATTTGAAATTATCTTAAGTATTTCTATACATGTCTTTGAACCTTGAGGCATCTGAGATTGTATTTTCTTTGCAAAATTTTTATATTGGAATTTCTCCTATATTTTTCTTACATTTGCTTATTGTGAAAACACTGCTGTTTTTTTTTTTTTTCTTTGAGGTCTTGTTAAATTGCCCAGACTATCTTGAACTCCCTCCTCCTGCTTCAGCCTCCTATGTAGCTGGGATTACAGGTACACACCACCACGCTGGCTTAAGACTGTTTTGTAGGAACTAAGGAAAAAACACTTTTTTTTGGTAAAGTTGTCTTGGACATTGGGTAGTGAGTTTATAGAGATACTTAGTATTCATATTGCAAGTAGGAATGTAAATATAATTTGAACTTACACATGCTAATTATAATTACTGGTCTTAGTGTTTGAGAACGATTTTCAAGACTCCTTATAGCATTTAATATTTGAATCTTTGAGAGCTATTAGAAAACAAATCAGCTTGTTAGGCTTCAACTAAATGACTTCTTGCTGCTAAAGCTTTTTTCTTTGGCGGTACTGGGGTTTGAACTAAGGGCTTCATGTTTGCTAGGCAGGTGCTCTACCGCTTGAGCCACGCCTCCAGCCTGCTGCTGAAGCCTTTTCTTGATTGAAGGGGACTGTTTCTAATTTGACTGATGGTTCCTCTGCAGTGCACCATTGAACCTTAGGCAGTTAGTGACACTTCCTGCTCTGGAAGAGCAGCACACTCACATCTATTTATCACAGTAATTACAACAGATGATACACATTTTAGTGTTTAGCTCATTTATTTGGTGTGACTGGGGTTTGAACTCACGGCTTCATACTTGCAAAGCAGGCACTCTACTGCTTGAGGCATACCTCTAGTCCATTTTGTTCTGGTTATTTTTTGGAGATAGGATCTTAGGAACTATTTGCCTCAGCTGGCCTCCAACTCAATCCTCCTGAGAGGAGGAATCCAAGTAGCTAGGATTACAAGTGTGAGCTACCAGTCCCAGCTAGCTCACTTGCCTGTTTATTTGTTGATTTATTTATGGTAGGAATGGGGTTTGAACAGGGGGTCTAATGCTTGCTAGGGAGGCACTCTTACCCTTGAGATACACCTCCAGTCTTAGCTCATTTATTTTAAATAGGGAACATACGACTGTTAACTTTTAAATATAAGGCATAGTTTGACTAATTTCCCTCCTAAAATTTTAGAAATTTAAATATGTACTAAGAAAAATTCTTCATCTTTTTCTTTCCTTTCCTCTCTCCCTTTCTTGTTTAAGCCAAGCAGATGGTCTACCACTTGAGCCAAACCCTAGCCACATAGTCTTTATTTTCTTTATTGTCTAAGGAAAACTGAGAACTATGAACAGTTTGTGCAAATTAAATGTTTGAAATTGTATTTGGGCTGTTAACCTTTACCAACGTGGCTTGTGTTATTTTCAAAATAGAAATAACTTCATTAACCTTTTTTGTTTGTATGTTTTGGAAATCACTGTGTAACCCAGGCTGGCCCACTTGCTATGTAGTATAGGCTGTCTTTAAACATTTTGAGGAAGCTGCTTCTGCCTCCTCAGTGCTGGGATCACAGGTGTGTACCACACACCCAGCTCGTCATTGACCTTTTGATTTTATAATTATGTGCTGATTACCAGATAGTCAGGGGAAATAATAGAAAGTTACAGTTTTGTTTAACAGCATATTCAATGTTTGCTTAACAACTGTTTTGCACAGGTTGTTCTGTACACACTGCTAAGCCAAGAGAGAAGAACGGATCCAGAGGCTGGCTTGCTTCTCTACCTCAAGACGGGGCAGATGTACACTGTGCCTGCCAACCATCTAGATAAAAGAGGTTGAGCTATTTGCTTCTGGTTTTACCTCTCAGGTCCCCCTCCCACCCGTCAAGTTTTGGTGATACAGTTTTACACCAGACAGTCAGCTTACTGGGCCTGTTACAGGATGTAATTTGTAGTTTTGGTATTTTAAAAACTAATTTTTACAGTGTACTCTGTAGTTGAAAATATCATTAACCTTTACATTTTTATTATACAAAACTATTTTCATCTTATTATCTGGTAGTAGATATTCTAGATTGCTTCCTTCATCCTTAGCATTCAGCCAGTTAAACACCAGCGTCACTATACTCACTAGGAATGAGATAGGTAGTCATTTTATGAATTTATGAAGTGAACAAAAACTTAATGGAAATATAACCAACAACAATTACTCTAGCATAGTGGGGAACAGGAATATCATTCTCTACTTTTCTTTGTTTCTGAATCTGAAGGTTATTACTGATTCAATGTTTTGTTTTTCATAGAATTATTAAAGTTAAGGAACCAGATGGCATTCTCTTTGTTGCACCGTATTAGCAAATCTGCTACGGGGAATGAGAAGGCACAGCTTACTTCTTTGCCACAAATAATTGAAGAGGGAAAAGTCTGTAGATACTGTTCACAAGTGAGCAACTGTGCTCTCTATAGCAGGTAGACACACTAGCTCCTAAAAGTGTTATTTATTTATTTATTTTTGGTGGTACTGGGATTTGAACTTGGGGGCTCATGCTTGCTAGGCAGGCACTCTTACCATTTGAGCTACTCTGCCAGTCCTGTTTTGTGATGGTTTTTTTTTTTTGAGATAGGTTCTCTCGAACTATTTGCCCGGGCTGGCTTCAAACCACAATCCTTCTGATATCTGCCTCCTGAGTAGCTAGGATTGCAGGCATGAACCATTAGTTCCCATCCAAAAGTATTATTTCAAATTGAATATGAACTTAGCTCAGTGATTTAACATTGGTAGTTTGTTCAGCATTGATTCCATTTCAGTTATTTTTATTTGTAGATAGTATTTGTAAAATGAAGGGAACAGAAAATAAAAAACAGCTTACATTGTCTAATAAGTCTGTTTTCTTGGTAAATGACAAGAGTACTTTTAAGCCGGGCTTTGGTGGCTCATGCCTGTAATCCTAGCTACTCAAGAGGCAGAGATCAGGAGGATTGCAGTTTGAAGCCAGCTGGGGCAAATAGTTCGAGAGACCTTATCTTGAAAAAACTCTTCAAAAAAATAGGGTTGGTGGAGTGGCTCAAGGTGAAGGCCCTGAGTTCAGTACTGCCAAAAAAAAAAAAAAAAAAAAAAAAAGTACTTTTAAAACATTTTCTAAAAGTGAAATTTTTGTTTGTTTTTTTTCACTTTTTTTGAGACAGTTTCTTATCATGTAGCCCTGGGTGACCTTGTACTCACTGTGTATCGCAGGCTGGCCTTGAATTTGTGATCCTCCTGCCTCACCTTCCCTAGTGCTGGGATTATAAGTGTGCATCACCACACCCAGCTTCAAAAATATTTTTTTTTGGAGGGGAACTAGGGTTTGAACTTAGGGCTTCATACTTGCAAAGCAGGTACTCTACTGCTTGAGCCATACCTCCAGTCCAGTTGCTCTGGTTATTTTTGGAGATGGGGTCTCGAAATACTTGCTTGGGCTAGCCTCAAACCCAGATCCTCTTGATTTCAACCTCCCATGTAGCTAGAATTGCCAGCGTGAGCCACCAGCACCCAGTTGGTGAAATGTTTCATGTACAACCCTAGCTTGGAATTCTTGAGTTTTTTTGTTTTGTTGTTTTGTTTCTGATGGTGGGGGTTGAGCCAGGGCTGTGGGCATGCTAGGCAAGTGCTGTATTACTGAGTTACATCTCCAGCCCTCTAACTTGGACTTTGTATTTAGAGCAATTGAACAACCAGTGGATGAAAGTTCAGTCCCAGAGGTCATGTTGACCAAAATACAAGAAGAAACCCAGCATCTGCAGCGTGCACACTTAGAGTACTTCAGCCTTTGGTGTCTAATGTTAACCCTGGAGTCACAATCCAAAGACAACAGAAAGAATCACCAAAATATCTGGCTAATGCCTGCTTCTGAAATGTAAGTGGTCCTCTGATTGCAGTGAGATACCCATAGTTTATATCAGCTTGTACATGGCATTTGGAATTCACAACAAATTGAGGTTATGTAGCATGTTAAAGACACGTGGTTTCATTTATTCACGACAACCCCATATGATTATCCATGAAATGTTTCTAATAGACCTTCATTTCTTGTATGCTGTGTGCCACAATCATTGTTAGTAGTTTGTTTTCAGTAGGTTAAACATGCCTCAAGAAATTTTTTAAGGGCTGGTGGAGTGGCTCAAGTGGTAGAGCACCTGTCTAGCAACTTTGAGCCCCTGAGTTCAAATCCCAGAACTGCCAAAAAACAAAAACAAAACAAAAGAAGTCTTTTTAGGTAGGCTCACGCCTGTAATCCTAACTACTCAGGAGGCAGAGATCAGGAGGATGGAGTTCAAAGCTAGCCTGGGCAAACAGTTTGTGAGACCCTATCTCAAAAATATCCAACACATAAAAGGGCTGGTAGAGTGACTTAAGTGGTAGAGTGCCTGACTAGCAAGCATGAGGCCCTGAGTTCAAACCCCAGTACAGCTAAAAAAAAGAAGTCTTTTAAAAATAGTAAATTATTTGTCATCAGTGATATCCGCATAAACTTGAGTATATGATAAGGTGAATTATTACATATTAATTAGGTTTTACTTAACCTTTTGCCTTATTTAAAATGTTTATATTTTCAGTAAAATTTTGTATTATCATTAGAAAAAGTTTGCATTTTCTGTTTTTAATAGAGACTCACATTTTCTTTTTGTTGCTGTTGTTTTGTATTTTTCACAGTGCTAGGGATGGACCTCATGTGCTAGGCAAGTGCTCTACCACTGAGTTCAAACCCAGTCAGCCAAAAAAAAAAAAAGTTCATGTAGTTATGGATCAAGTGCATAAATGCAGTAAATATGTAAAGTGTACATACAATGAAGCCTCTGAGGTTGTGTAGTGTTTATAGTAGTACCTGAATACTTTAAATGCTAGAACTATCAGTGGTGTTAGCAACTTGCTTGTCATTATTTTAATAACAATAATTACAAATCCTCTTGTAAACAGTAAAGAAATAAGTTATTTCTTCACATCAAATTCAGGAGCAGATGTATCATTGTATCAGTGTCTTGTGTATCAGCACAGGAAATGGGGGTATTGATCAAGGATCAGTGTGCTAATAAATAGCTTATTGAGAGGTCCCAGCCTGTTGATGCAATAAGGGTGGGGATGGTGGTGGTGAAAGGTATTTAAAAACTAACAGGGGATGTTTACTTAGCATTTTTATCACTTTTCTGTAGATGGTAGGAAGTGTAAAAAGGAGAAACTCAATTTTCGTATTAGTTTCCAGGGACCAGATAAACAAGTAAATTGTGGAAAAACATGAATACAGTATTTATGTATATGACATAAATGGAGACTTTCTCTCTCTCTCTCCCCTGTCTCCCCTAAATAGGGAGGAGAAAGGCAGCTGCATTGGGAACCTAATCAGGACAAAACATGTGAATAGAGTCTGCGATGGGCAGTACTTACATCATTTCCAGCGTAGAAATGGTGCTATGCCTGGGACAAACCTAATGGCAGGAGACAGAATTATTTTAAGTGGAGAGGAGAGAGCGCTGTTTGCCTTGTCTAAGGGATATGTGAAGAAGATTAACATGACAACAGTAACCTGTTTATTAGACAGGTAATGAAATGCTGCTTTTGATAAGTTATTGATGGATAAGGGGGCGGAGTGGGTGGTAAGGGAGGGGGTGGGGGCAGGGGGGAGAAATGACCCAAGCCTTGTATGCACATATGAATAATAAAAGAAAAAAAAATAAAAAATAAATAAAAAATAAAAGACACCCTAGGGGTGAGTCAAAGGAAAAAAAAAAGTTATTGATGGATAATTCATGGACCGTATGATTCATCTGTTTAAAGTGTACACTTCCATGGTTTTCAGTATATTCAGAGTTGTACAAAAGCCTGGGGATGTAGCTCAGCCTTAGTGGCCTACGTAGCATGTGCAGAGCACTGGGTTCCATCTATTATATTGTTGTATAATCATCACCACAATCATTTTTAGTATTTATAACTCCTAAAAGAGACCTGTACCCTATCTTAGTCACCCCTGCATTTCCCTTAATCTCCCCCAGCCCCAGATAACCACTTTCTGTCTTTACTGAGCATCTCATGTACATGGAATCCCACAGCATGTGGTCTTTGGCTGGTTTTTGTCACTTAGCATATTGGTTTTCATGTGGTGACATGTAAAAATGAAGTAAAACTGACACAATATAAAATTGGCCATTAACCATTTTAATTGGCACCGAGCACCTTCACTGTCTTAAGTGCCCATCACTTCTCCCTAGTTCCAAGACACTTTCATCACTGTAAAAGGAAACTCCAAACTCAGTAAGCAGCCACTTTCCACTCTTCTTCTAGCCCCTGCCATCTACTTTTGTTTTCTGTATTAACTTATTCTGAATATATGATCTCAGTGTTGTCACACAGTGTGTGACCTTTTGTGTCTGGCTTATTTCACTTAGCGTAATGTTGGTGAAGTCCATCCATGTTGTAGCATGTATCAGTAACTCATTTCTTCTGTGGCTGAGTAACATTCATTGTGGGGACAGACCACGCTCTGCTCATCCACTCACCTGCTAATGGACATGTGAGTTTGAGTAATATTGATGTGGGCATCCATCCACAAATTTTTATGTGTGCATATTTTCATTTTCCTTTAGTTATCTAATAGTAGAATCACTGGGTCATGTTCTAGTTTTGTGTTTAATATTTTGAGGAATTACCAAATTGTTAATCAGGTTTTTTTGGCAGGGAGATATTGGGGTTTGAACTCAGGGCTTTGTTCTGGCTAAGTAGGTGCTCTATTGTTTGAGCCACACCCGCAGCCCTAAACTTTTGTTTAGCACATTGTTTTATAGTGTTAATGTGTGTGTAATCTTTCCTAATTCTCACAAGCACATGTGTGTCAGCATAACTGTGCTTTATTAGCTATGAGGCTTCTCTTTTGTACTCTGGGCTCTTTCCATTTTGTTCTCCCCTTAAAAAAAGTTTTTCTACTGATAAGTGTGATATAAAGTATACTTATAGCAGTTAAAAGAAAGTAAGTTGACTTGAAGTGGAGATAGCAGAATCATGGCTCACGTCTAACCTGAGCAAAAGTTAGTGAGATCCTATCTCACAAATAAGTCAAGCATGGTGATCAATGTCTATAATCCCAGCTCCTGAGGAAGACTGGCCTAAGCAAAAGTGGAGACTCTTTCTGAAAAACAAAGTGAACGCAAGAGGACTGGGGCATGTCTGAAGTTGTAGAGCATAAGGCTTTGAGTCCAATCTTCAGTATTGTCAAACAAAGCAAAACAAAAAAACCCCCAAAAATCCGAAAAGAAAGTACCTTGATGTAAAGAAAAATGCTAAGTAAATAATAGTATGAAAACTTGTGGCAGAGACCAAATCCATGTTCACTAATACCTGTGGTACTCCTTTCTGCATGCCCAGCTTTCCTTCCAGTTGGTACAGGCATGCCTCCCCTTTTCCTAATGGATAGGAGTCATACATGGTTCTTTGGGGAGAGAGAGCAGATGGAATCTGCCTTCCCTGACACTCTGTGGTTTCCTTCCTAATGGATAGGAGTCGGGGATTGGGATGCAGTGACAGCTGGGTAACCTCAGCAGAAATGTCCGGGTTTGTGTCCTACAATTTAGTCATCAGTCAAGCCATGACTAGCCCTAGCTTGGGTTTCATGATATGGAAGGGTGAACCACAATATTTCTGCTGTTGCACAGGATTAACTGTAATCCTTTGTAGTACGTTTTGTTTTTTGTGCTGCTGGTGATGGAACCCAAGGCCTTGTATATGCTAGGCAACCACTGTATCACTGAGCCACTGAGCAATACCCTTAGCTCTCCTGGCAGTGCTTTTTTTGTACGTGTGTTTGTCTAACATGTATTAGGCACTTTGTGGATGTTTGAAGAATTTATAGTCTTGTGTGGAGACATATCTTTTCAATCTAGTAGTAAGTGATTGAAATGATGGGAATACAGGAGAGCCATTTAACTCAATTTTAGGAGGCTCAGGGAGGGCTTTTTGCAAAAGATAATTCTGGATCTCCATCCTATGGATTAATAAATTAGGCTGGCGAAGCACTGTGAGAAGAGTGTACCAGATTGAGTGAGCAGGCTGTGCAAAGGCCTGATCATGTGATGTGTAAAATGGAATTTTCAGGAAGATGCAGGTAATTAAGCAGTTCTGCAATGTGAAACATGAGGAAGGAAGTGATTGGAGAGGTCAGGTTATAGAAATTTTCTTTTCTTGTTTCTCAGTACTGGGGTTTGAACTCAGGGCTTTGTACTTGTGAGGCAGGCACTCTATTGGCCAAGTCACGTCTCCAGCTCAGACAAGGTCTTAATATGCCATGCACAGAAGTTTTAATTATTTATTAAGATATACTAAAGGATTTTAAATGGAAGGATAGGTAATAATTGGATTTGTATTTCCTGTGGGTGCACGTGGAGATTTGAATTAATAGAGGCAAAACAAAGCAGAGAACCTGGAAGCTGTTCTGGTGGGTAGAGGTGATGGAGAGCAAGGTAGTGTTGGCAGAGAGGACAGAATGATTTTGATAAGTACATATCAAAGAAAATTGGCAGGCGGTTAGATACTGGTTAGATCTGGTGTTGGAGGAAGGAAAGATCAATACACTGTGGATACAAGTGCCCTTGACTGAGGTCCAGACCAGAAGAAGGTCAGGTGGGGGGCGGGGGGATGAGGAGTTCAGTTTTAAACACATTGAACTTTTCTTGCCTGGGGCTTAGCCAGTTGGAGAGGTTTTGCTGTCTGCAGTTTGGGTGAGGAGCAGCTGGAAGAGAAGTACCAGGGAAGTCTGAAGATGTATCTTTGGGATTTGGAGCCACATGTTGGCCTGGGACCATAGGGAAAACCACAAGAAAGCAATAACAATGGTCAGGGGAGGGACTCTAGGGAACACCAGGATTTAGGGGGCTTTATAGAGAAGTGGGGAAAGGTGGCAGGAAAGAGACCATCTTCCAGGCTGGAGGAGATTAGAGCCACGTGTTCAGGATCCTTCTGGGGATGGTAAGCCCATGTTAGATTGCAAAGTCAAGTGTTTCAGTAAATGTTACAGGTTCCAGCTATTAATTGTTCTCAGCTTTGGGCCCTCTCCTTTTCCTGTCATCACCCATTCAGAGCCTTGTGCTGTCTTTGACTGGCAAGTGTGAATGATGGGTTGGTAGCATTTTATTTCATTTCGTTTTATTTATTTTAGTTTTTGAGGCAGGGTCTCTCTGTGTAGGCCAGGCTGGCCTCACACTTGTAATCTTCCTACCTAGGCTTCCCAAGTGCTAGAATTATAGGGGTGCACTGCCATGCTCATCTTGGTAGCCATTTTAATGGCTATTCTATCCTATTTGCCCTTTCTAAAGCAGGTAGCAGTATACTTCTTATGCAGACCATGCAAAATGGAAAACATTTATGTACATTTGTTCTGCTGTTTTAGGAACTTATCAACCCTCCCAGAGTCAACTTTGTTCAGATTAGACCAGGAAGAAAAAAACTGTGACATACATACCCCCTTAGGAAACCTCTCTAAATTGATGGAGAACACCTCTGCCAGGTTTGTAATAATGCAGGAATCTGAGTTTCTTCCCACTATTCTAAGGGATATACTACAAAGACTTTTTTCTTTTCAGCAAAAAGCTTCGAGATTTAATCATTGACTTTCAGGAGCCTCAGTTTATACCCTACCTCAGCTCTGTCCTCCCGCACGATGCTAAGGATACTGTTGCTGGCATTCTAAAGGGTATGCTATTGTAAGCACATCTGTTAACTGCTCTTGGATAGGATTTAAACTGTACCGTAGTTCTCTGATTTCTTAATAATTGATTAGCTTTTTAATTCTAATGATTGGAAGTAGCTTATGTCTATAAAATCACTGTGACATTGCTTTACTTTGAAAAGATGTATGTAAGAGCACAATCAGGTCGAGATGCTTTTCTTTTAAAATGTGAATTTATGAGCCGGATGTGGTGGTATATACCTGTAATCCCAGCACCCTGGAGGCTGAGGCAGGTGGATCACTAGTTTGAGTAAAAAAAAGAAAAAAAAACTCCACTGAAATTCAATGCTCTTTTTCCTGTTATTTATTTATTTATTTATTTTTAATTTAAATGTAGGTTTGAATAAGCCTCAAAGGCAAGCAATGAAAAAGGTTCTTCTCTCAAAAGACTACACACTCATCGTGGGTATGCCTGGGACAGGAAAAACGACTACCATATGCACTCTCGTAAGGTTACTGTTATCATGCTTGGAAACTAAACACCAGCTTTTCAGTTCAGGGTTTTGGTACCAAAGGGCTGCATTTTAATTAAAAATCTTTTTTTCAAGAATGATATGAGAAGTAATAAAGCTGAATTACAAATAGCTATAATCAACTTTTAGATTATTTTTGTTTTTGTTTTGTTTTTACCTTTCTCCAGAAAGGATTTTCTTTTTTTATTGTTTATTCATTTATTATGTGTGTATATATTGTTTGGGCCATCCCCCACCCCCAACTCCCCCCCACTCTACTTCCCTGCCCCCCTTACTTCCAGGCAGAACCTGTTCTGCTTTCTTCTCCAATTTTGTTGAAGAGAAAACGTGAGAGATAATATGAAAGACATAGCGTTTTTGCTAGCTTGAGATAAAGATAGCTATACAGAGAGATTCCTAGCATTGCTTCCATGCACAAGTGTATTATAACCCGAATTGGTTCATCTCTACCTGACCTCTTCACTACTTCCTGGTCACCTTCCCATGGTGGCCTCTGTTGGTTTCAGGATTTCTTGCATTTGGAGTTTCTTCCTTTTTTGTTGGTACTGGGGTTGAACTCAGGCCACTTGAGTCACACCTCCAGGTCTAGAATTTCTTAAGGTTCCTTTCTGTTGGTGGTTTGTAATTTGCATCATTGTAAGATTTTCTCTCCCTTTAAAAGTGATAAATTAGTCTGGAGGTGTGGCTCAATAGGTATAGCACCTGCCATGAGAGCCTAAGACTCTTGAGTTTAAACCCCAGTACTGCCAAAAATAAATAAATAAATAGATACATAAATTATAAAGCGGAATCTAGGAAAATGTATATTTTTTTTCACGTCTAAATTTCTAAGCAGTCAGAAAATCATAATGACAACAGTAAATATTTATTAGTTAATACTGTGTCTGGACAGTGTTAGAAGCTGATGTGTATTGAATTTTATTATCACTTACCGCAAGTATTATTGTGTTAATTAATAATGTGATAATAATGTCATATAGTCTTTGCAAAATCTTTTGGCTTTATAATTTTTTAAGAAGTTACTTGGCTCAGCTGTTCAGTAGGGTTCCTATTGAGCTTGACTAGCTCTGTTTCAAAACTAGAAGCATGTTGGAAGTTATCTGGAACGCAAAGTAACGCTGTCTTTCTTTCTTGCTTGTAACTAGGTAAGAATCCTCTACGCTTGTGGCTTCAGTGTTTTGTTGACCAGCTATACACACTCAGCTGTTGACAATATTCTTTTGAAGTTAGCCAAATTTAAAATAGAATTTTTGCGTTTGGGTCAGACTCAGAAGGTTCATCCAGATATCCAGAAATTTACAGAAGAGGAAATTTGCAGGTCAAAGTCCATTAATTCTTTAGCTCTTCTGGAAGAACTCTACAATAGTCAAGTAAGCACAATTATGATATGAGTGTTTTTGCTGAGTCTTCCCTTTTTTTTCACTTTATTTGAGCATATTCACAACTGCTTCTTGGAACATTTTTATCATGACTCTTCAAAACCTTGATCAGATAATTCTTACATCTCTGTCATCTTGGTGCTGGCATCTGTGAGTCTGCGTGTGTGTTCAGTGTGTTCAAATTTTCCTGGTTCTAGTAATATGAGTGAAATTTTCCTGGTTCTGCTAATATGAGTGACTGTCAATTGAATGGTTATTTTGTTTAAAAAATTTATTATTTTTATTATTTTTTTGTATGTGTGGTACTAGGGTTTGAACTCAGGGCTTCATGCTTGCCAGACAGACACTGTACCACTTGAGCCATGCCTCCAGTCCTTTTTGCTTAGGTTATTTTGGGGGTGGGGGATCTTACTTTTTGCCCAGGCCAGCCTGGACTGCGATCCTCCTATTTTACACGTTCTATCTTATTGGGATGACAGGTGCGCACCACTGCACCCAGATATTGGTTGAGATGGGAGTTTCGTGAACTTTATTTTTGTTTGGTGATAGTACTGGGGTTTGAACTCAGGGTCTCACGCTTGCTAGGCAGGCATTCTACCTGAGTCATTCCACCAGCTCTCATGAACTTTTTTTGCCCAGGCTGGCCTTGAACCACAATCCTCCTGATCTCAGCCTCCAAAGTAGTTAGAATTACAGGTGTGAGCCACCAGCACTGGGGTGAAACAAGCATTCTTATGTGTGGTTTAAAACCTCCCCTTCCTCTGAAGCTGTAGAGGAGGGCATACCACCTCTTTGCTGGCAGGTGGGAGGAGACCTGGTACCCAGTCAGTGTCCTTTCACAAACTGCTGTGCCAGTTTGCCTCCCATGTGGTCCACACCAATGTAGTTGGGATTTTGTTACCAGCCTGCAGGGATGAAAGATCTAAGTTCATATTTGGCCTCCTCCAAGACCACCCTAGTGGTTTATTGGGACATCTTGTTGCAGCATTAAGGAGGTAGGAGTCAAGGCCTTTGCTCAGCCATTGCTGGTGTCTGTGGGGGTGGTGCCATGGTGTTTTTTTCTTTTCTGTGATGACTGGCTAGAGTACTGTGGTTTTTGTATAAAGTTTTCTGTCTGCTAGGCCAGGTCTTCCCTTTCCTATTCTTTGGCTTAAGCTAGCAGGCTATTGTTGAAATGGTTTTGGTTTGACCCATTGGTGATCCTGGATGGTCAGCTTAAGTTTGGGACATATGAGACAAAAAAAACCCCAGAAAGTTGCTCTGTTGTTCCTGTGGTCCTGAGCTCCTTATCTGACCTGCCTTCTGTCTTTCAAAGTTGTTTTGTGTATGATGTCTCGGGTGTTTTTGTTTCTGTGTTTGTTTGTAGTGCTGGAGATTGAACCCAGGACCTGACATGCTAGGCTAGTGCTCTATCCCTGAGCTACATCATGTGCCAAAATTTTAACTATACGTTGTGGGAAGGATAAGGAAACTCCGTCTTTCAGAACTGAAGTTCTAGTTGACTTAAAAAAAGAAAAAAAACCTTACTAATTTACTGTCTCAGTGTTTCAGCTTCCATTTGGTAATGTCCAAATGTAAGCAATGTTCATATTATCTTTCAATTCATAGAAAAGAATTTAAAAATAAATTTCATGTGCTCTAAACATTTTGGAATTAAATAATATCAGATGATATTTGATGCTAGGAGAAAAATGTTTTTTGGTCTTGTAATTGAAAAATAGGAAAAAATAAACTACATTTTTGTACATTTAACTAATGCTTCTATTTTCTTTTTTTTTTTTTTAGCTTATAGTTGCAACAACATGTATGGGAATAAATCATCCAATATTTTCCCGAAAAACTTTTGATTTTTGTATTGTGGATGAAGCCTCCCAAATTAGTCAGCCAGTTTGCCTGGGGCCACTTTTTTTTTCTCGGAGATTCGTGTTGGTAGGGGATCATCAGCAGCTTCCTCCCCTGGTGCTGAACCGTGAAGCAAGGTAGACAGACTCTGAAGCTTTGTTTTTGTTTTACTAGAGATGGATTTTGCCTAGGCTGGTCTTGAACTCCTGTGCACAAGGGATCTTCCTGCTCTATCATTCCACCTCAACCTTCTGAGTAGCTGGGACTATTGACATGTACCACCATACACGTCAATTTTAAATTGGGTTCTTTTTAAGGAACATTGTTAGTCTACTGATAAGTGTGAATTTGATTTGTTGACAGAGCTCTTGGTATGAGTGAAAGCTTATTCAAGAGGCTGGAGCAGAATAAGAATGCTGTGGTACAACTAACCGTGCAGTACAGAATGAACAGGTACTTCTAACTCCGTTAGCCATGACTGGCTTCCATGCTTATTTTCATCTGCCTCAGCTAAGGGTTTTTTTCTGCAATTATTTTAGTAAAATCATGTCGTTAAGTAATAAGCTGACCTACAAAGGGAAGCTGGAGTGTGGATCAGACAAAGTGGCCAATGCAGTGATAAACCTACCTAACTTCAAGGATGTGAAGCTGGAGCTGGAATTCTATGCTGATTATTCTGACAATCCTTGGCTGATAGGAGTATTTGAGCCTAACAATCCTGTTTGTTTTCTTAATACAGAAAAGGTAAAAAAAAATTTTTTCTTTACTTTTGTTCTATTATTTAAATTTCTCAGCTTGCATTGTGTATGCTTATCACTTAAAAGCAAAATTAGCGTACTTGTACCTCAACACAAAAGTCTTTTATTTCAGTTGGCTCAGTATTTTTGAGAGATTTATTCTGGGAGTTGATGGATGTCAAAATTGACCTTTCCTTTCTTTTTTTTTTTACAATGTAAGGACTTGAGTATATGTCCCTGTGCAGGCACTTTATCACTTTAGCCATGCCTCCCACAGTCCTTTTGGTTTAATTATTTTTCAGATAGGATCTTACGCTTTTTGCTTAGGCCTTGGACTGCAATCCTCCCCCTTGTACCTTCCATGTAGCTGTGAGTACAGACATGCACCACAATGCCTGGTTTGTTTGTTTAGATGAGGTCTCACTAACTTTGTCTGGGCTGACCTCAAATTGTTATCCTCCCAATCTCTACTTCTTAAGTAGCTGGGATTACAAGCGTGAGCCACCTGTCCCCAAATTGACTTCTGAAGAAGGAAAGCCAGAAAGTGAATTCAAGGGTTATACTTCCATTTCCTAGGAAAGGTATTGGCATTGATAGTAATGGCTAGGTTTATAAGTAGACAAAGTATAATGAATTGTCTTTTTTTTTTTTTTATGGTACTAGAGTTTGAACTCATGGCCTACACTTTGAGCCACTACACCAACTCTTTTTTGTGATGGGCTTTTTTGAGATAGAGTCTTGTAAACCACTTTCCCAGGCTGGTTTTGAACCTCGATCCTCCTGATCTCTGCCTCCTAACTAGAATTACAAGCCACTGGCGCCCATCAATGACAATTGATACCATTTTTAAGGACTTAGAATAACCTTTTTGGGGGACCACTTTTATGTTCACAGCATATTAAGCAGATGGTATAGGGGTTTCCCATATGCTTCCCACACCTACAAATGCACATAAAGGCCTTTTAACAAACATGATATTAAAGAGAATCTTCACAGTGTACATTAAATGATTTGGTTCTTATTTCTAGCAACTAAGAATGAAGTTTTGTCCCTGTATTCCTAGTTTTGTATATTGCATCTTAACACTGAATTGGAAGTTCAAATAAAAAACACAGTGACTAGTTGTATGTACACATATTACTCTGTAATAATTGTCTTTTATTGTTATTAAGATGGGTGGTGTTAACTAGTTGTTAAAAAATAGGGCCTTGCCATAGAGCTGATGGAATTTTCAATCTCTTGGCTATTGCCCCTAGTGATTAAAAATTTGCTTTTAGATCTTGGTACAATGGTACATGCCTGTAATCTTAGCACTCTGGAGGCTGAGGCAGGAGGATTGTGAGTTCAAGGCTATCCTAGACTACATAGTGAGACTTTGTCTCAAACAAAAAAATTAATTGTATCACCTAGAATTGCTTGGCTCTGGGAAATTTTTTCAGATTTCAGTGATATCACAAATGACTGCTTTTATGAAACTTTTCTGGTTTATTAATTGTAATTTGAAATTTTTTACCTCACTGATGATTTTTGAGTTTCTTTATTTTTGCTACTCAGGTTTCTTCTTACTATGAGGAATAAAAGTAATCGAGGTTGTGTAGGGAAAATGCAGCCCTGGAGAGTTTTCTGGGATTTGGTAGAGCTTGGGAACCAAGCCCTTTCTGCTATATTATTTGTCTAAATGTCTTCAAGGACACATACAGTACACTGGTGCTGAGCCAGATACAAGTTTAAATCCTACAGCCTGGATCTACTGTGAGGCCTTTGATTCCTGTAACATGGGAGATAACAAAACATGTGAAATGCAGTGTCTGTGAACTTTCCTAGAGATTTTCGTCCATATTACAGCATGCTTCATATGGGTTGCTTTCTCTTCTCCTTCTGAAAATGAATACATTCAGTTTTGTTGATTCTCTCACTTTCAGCTTTGAAGATGGTATTTTTCATCTGTTTCTACACATAAGAGTGCAGTCTCTATGGGAACCTGTTGTTCAACTTTAGAGATTATGTTGTAAACAGGTTCCTTCTTTTTCTATTTAGGTTCCAGCACCAGAACAAGTTGAAAAGAGTGGTGTGAGCAATATAACAGAAGCCAAACTCATAGTTTTCCTGACCTCAATTTTTATTAAGGTAAGTTAGAATTTTCAAAGCTAATCAGTGTGAAGGTTCAGGGTGATAGAATATTATTAGGCTTTTAGAAACGTAAAATCAAGCATTGCCCTTGGTTTGTGAAGATAAGGGGACTAAAGCCCTATTGTTTGTTTTATTTTAAGAAATTTTTGCTAAGATGTGATTTTTTTATATAATGGCATTTATTTCCCTTTTAGGTTAGTTTTGTAGTTCTGATTGGGGCAATACAATTTGGCACTGGAAACTTCTCTAAGGGAAGCAGAAAGTAAAATCTATTTCTCTGTGCTGTTTTGTGTGACAGTACTCTTTTTAGTGGCATACAAACCATTATGCTCTAAAAATCACGTGAACAATGTCTGAGGAATTATTTCATCACAGGAAATAATTAGTAAATTTAGAATACGTTGTATTTACTCTGAGATGGGAGCATCTGTTATGGACATTAGTTTGGCACTTAATGTAGAAATTTGACTTAATAAATTCAGCAAAGCTTCAAGAACTTAAAAATCAGGGCTTTTCATCTTAAATTGTGTCCTTTTCTGTTCAGGCTGGATGTAATCCCTCTGATGTTGGTATCATTGCACCATATAGGCAGCAATTAAAGATCATCAATGATTTAATGGCACAGTCTTCTGTTGGGATGGTTGAAGTTAACACAGTAGACAAATACCAAGGAAGAGACAAAAGGATCATCCTCGTATCTTTTGTTAGGAGTAATAAGGATGGAACTGTAAGTTAATTGTATTTGCTGTGATTCATTTGGTGTTGCTCTCTCTTATCCTAAGCACTTCTGGGAGCACAGTGCAATAGTGTAAGATATATGCACACTTCTGCTGAAGAGATCCCAGAGCCTTTACATTTGCACAGTTAAAACTACTCATTCCCAGACCTATAACCACCATTTTGCTTACTGTTGTTTCTTCTTTCTTTCTTTATAATTTCTACTACTATTACAGGGCTACAGTGAGTAGAGATACCTCTAGTTGTTTGATTTTTATTATATGTAATAATTTAAAATTACAGCTAGAGTGTCACAACATAAGATACTTGGAGTTGACATTGTGGCATGTTTTTTCCAGTTGCCTAGAATTTTTAACATGTTGATGAATCTTTTTGTTATCTGTTTTAAAAGTAGGAATAAAGTCAGGCACGATGGTACCATCCTTTGGTAGGCAGAGGCAGGAGGATTAAAAGTTCAAGGCCATCTTGGGCTACAAAGTGAGACCCACTATTAAAAAAAAAGAGAAAAGAAAACAAAACAGTTCAAGGCAACACATCATGTTCTTTTTCAGAACAAATTCAAATATATAAGAAAACTCAAATTATTGGAAAATCTATTTTTTTTTTTTTTTTTACAGCTTGGTGAACTCCTGAAAGATTGGCGGCGTCTTAATGTTGCTATAACCAGAGCCAAACACAAACTGATTCTCCTGGGGTGTGTGCCCACACTAAAGCGATACCCACCTTTGGAGAAGCTGTTTTACCATCTAAACTCGGAAAAATCAATATCCTTTTTGTTAATTATGTGGTTGCATTTGATTATGCTACTATGAATGCTTTATTTAAAATATGCTAGTGCAAATTAATTCTTGTGAACATATTTCAAAGATCAAATTTGGAAAAGGAAAAAAGAACAGTTCACAGGAAGGCAATTAATGAAGTAATGAAGATGATGGAGAGGGAAAGTTTATGAGTTGAAAGAGGGAAAAGACAGGACATGATCGCTTGTCCCAGAACTGGCCTGTGCAGGAAAATTGCTATCCCTTCTGGTTCTTTCACCCCAAATTTATAACTTTGTTTTTATTGGGACTGGTTTTTTTTTTTTTTTTTTCCCAGCACTGGGATTTGAACTCCAAGCCTCACAGTTGGTGCTCTACCCCTTAAGCCACTCCGCCAGTCCTTTTTTTTTTCTTTTTTGTGGTACTGGGGCTTGAATTCAGGGCCTACACCATGAACCCTTTTTTGGTGATGGGTTTCTTTTGAGGTAGGGTCTCCCGAGAACTATTTGCCCAGGCTGGCTTTGAACTGCGATCCTCCTGATCTCTGCCTCCTGAGTAACTAGGATTACAGGCATGAGCCATTGGCACCCGACTCTGTAACCTTGTTTCTAATCCAGGGAAAGCATTATATGAAGGGCTGGGGACATGGCTTAAATGGTAGGATGGCTGCCAAGGAAGTGCAGGGCTTGAGTTCAAACCACAGTTCCACCAAAAAAAAATAAAGGAAAAATCATTCCATTTTTTAAAAATTGTCATTTTATTTAATTTTTTTGTGGTGCTGGGGATGACACCAAGTGTTGTACCACTGAGTTATACTCCCTCCCCCTCCATTGTTTTTAAAATAGATTTGTTTAAAATTAGAGTTAAGGGCAAAATAGTTTCTGCCGGGTAGCAAGGGGATGGGGGAGGAGAGGGAGGGGGAGGGAGGGGGTGGCAGGGGGTGGGGTGGGGGGGGTTTAGGGAGGGGGTGGGGGAAGGGGGGAGAAATGACCCAAACATTGTATGCACATATGAATTAAAAAAAAATAGATTTGTTTAAAACAACAACAGCAACAAGCTTGTTTAATGACCTTCAGTTAAGATATGTAAACCTAACTGGGTGCTGGTGGCTCATATCTGTCTGTCTGAAAAAGAAATTTTGTATGTTTTCTGTTTTTTAAAAAATTTCTATTAGCATATTATAGTTGTACAGGGGGTACACTGTGACATTTACCCAAGTGCTTACAATATATCTTCATTAGATTTGCTCCCTCTACCTTTCTCCTTTATCCTCCCTACCCACCTTCTTAGAACCATTTCAAGTTTTTATTGTACTGTTTTCATACATGAATACAAAATACTTCCACCAATTCACTCTCCTTCACTTTCCTCATGCTCAACCCCCTCCCACTGGTACTCACCCCCTTTTTAGACAGAACCTTTTTACCCCCCTGTCCTTCCTTTATTTTTAAAAAAGAACATTTTTCTTAGTTTGTGATATTCAGGAGGGTTCATTGTGACATTTTACATATACACGTATTATACCCCAAACTGGTTCATCTCCTCCATTATTCTTTTTACTCCATTCCTCTTATGGTGACTTCAGCAGGTTTCAGTACAGTACTTGTATAGAAAGTACTGTCTTTATTTACCCTTCCCCCCTCCTTTACATGACCTGTCTTAACGTGTTCCTGTCCTTCAGTGGGAGTTTTGGCTTGGGATATAGTGAATAATGAAATACATCACAAGGAACAATGAAACACGCTGAAAACTGAACAACACAGGATGGGGAAAGGGTGAGGAAGAGTAGTGGAGGGAGGCTAGACTGACTTAAGCACAGTGTATTTACAGGTAAAACACATACACACACACAAAAAAAGCCAAGAACCTTATTGCTTAAGCATATGATTTCCTGTAGAATACTGTAATGATCTTCACATTTTTTAATAAAACCAAATCACAAAATGTGTAGTAATGTCATAAATGTTTTTGTGCAATTCCATATTGTGTTAAGTGCATCTTCCTTAACTTACTTTACATCATTGATCTTCCATCAAGAGAACATGAAAGTCTCTGTCACATACTGGGTGATTTTCAAAAAGTATAAAACACCGTTGTTTTCCCTGTCTTTTCATATTAGGCTGGGATCTCATAGCTGGTGCCAAGTGTTTGTAATTTAGGTTTGCTGTAAGAGCAGTGCTTGGTTAAAGTCACTCTAAAGGTGATTTTTATCCAAAGGGTACAAGATGAAGTAAATATACTCTGTGTAGAGTTCCAAGTTTTTTTTGTTTTCTATTTTTTTGATATAATCTTCTTAAACATTAAATCCTATTGCCAGACAATATTAAACACTATTAAAGTATAGATATATCACAAACTGTGGAAAATCTAAATTTATAGCTACTTCAAATGCATTTTTGTATGAACTAGAAAGAGTGTGATAAAATTTTTAGCAGATTTAAAGACAGACTGTTGAATTTGAGATTTAAACTTTTAAGTCTAAAATTTCAGTCAGATCCCACAGGTTGAACTCTCAAATAAATTACCAGGATTATTTGGATTTTGTAGACTTAATCATATTTGAAAGATCAGGTAAAGAAACTTGGTTTGTTTTCATTATTTAATCTCAGTCGTGGTGATGGGAACAAGAGTGTGGCTCTTTTGAGCTTTAAGGTTCATCACTGAGCCAAAGGCCAGTTTGCTGAGGTTTTTCTAACTTTGCTTTCTGGCATCAGATGAAGTTTCACTTTAAATTTAGTCTTTTAAATTAGACCTTAGGAGTGACTATTTCTAAACAGTTTCTTATTCTCCCCAACTATCTCCTTTTCTAATTTTCATTGCCCAATATTGCAGTATTCTAGAGTAGAATTTGATATAAAATAATTCTTTTTCTATTATTTTCTGAATTGATGACAAATTGGAGAGGGTACATCCATATTTTCACATATTCGTGTTTGTTGGCCTATTTGGGGATATTACTCAATTTTTCCTTTTTTGTGTAAAGATGTTTTGTAAAACAAAGTTACCTCAAAGTGATGACTTTTGTATATGGTGATAGATTTTAACTTCAGGGTATCCATCTTCTCAAAGGAAAATCTTTGTTTTTCAGTTTTTTTTTTGTTGTTGTTGTTAATTGTTAAAATTGTTGCTGCTTCTACCTTGTGATTGTAGTTATTAAAGGTTTTATTTATTACATTGTTTTCCACTGACTGATACAGCTCGTGCTTTATTATTAAGAATGACTAATGATTAAGTTGAGGGTTGTCCAGCTTTTTTTTTTTTTTTTTTATGGTGGGACTGGGGTTTGAACTTAGGGCTTTGCACTTGCAAAGCCGGCATTCTACCACTTGAGCACACCTCCAGTCCATTTTCCTCTGGTTATTTTGGTGATGGGGGTTCTTGAAAACTATTTGCCTAGGCACGAGCCTCCCAAGTAGCTAGGAGACACCGGGCGGGATCCAACTTTTTTTTTTTTTTAATGATAGGTGAAATGTTAATCATACTGTAAAGCTGAAACCGAGGAGCATTGATGTTATAGAGGAATTTATGAAGTTCGCACAGAACAGGCTTGATCATGGAGAGCTCATAGATCAGACATGAGAGGCTGGAGAAATTGCTGTCATATGCCTTAAATATTGTGTGCCATCATTAGGTATAAATCTGGAAGGAATCTAAGATAATTTCTTAGAGGAAAATGAGTAAGAAAAATCTGTTTTAGTCCATGGTTGCTCCATCAGTTTGTATGGCCTGGGAAGAGCTCTGTGTTTCCTTGTCATTTTTAGGTATCTCTTGGTTTCAAGATTCAGACCATTTAATTGTTTGAAAAAGACAGGATATGTCTTCTACATATAAGGTGCTGTGAGTTGGTGGCTTGGGGTGACCTAGAGGTTAAACCCAGACCAGGTCTTCCAGAGCTTAACAGTGCTCCACAAGTCTGAGCTCCACGCTGAGGACTGACACCAGAGTAGCTACCAGTCACCCATGATGAAGGGCACCTCTAGACTAGACAGGGCTTTTCTTGTGAAAGTGAGAAGAAAACACAAGATGGGAAGACAGTGTGCAATTCCAGTGACCCCACTCCTGAACAGAAAATCTGAATTAAACCCTCTAGATTTAACTTGCTTTAGAAGCCCTTTAGCTATAACCTACTTTGCCTGCTCTTGCTTTTGTAAATGTAACCCACTTCACCTGCTCTTAGTAACTTGCTTTTGATTGATTTGAAAGTCACCAGTTTTAATTCTAGTACTTGGGAGGCTGAGGTAGGAGAGTCATGAGTTTGAGGCCAACTTGACCTATATAACAAGACCCTGTCTCAAAAGAAAGAAAGAAAGAAAGAAAGAAAAAACCCTTCAATTTTACAGATAACACCTCTGATGAGTGGCTAACAACTGAAGTTTGATTACACATTTGTAGCTACCGATTCCTTCCTCACCTCTAATCTTTTCATGCTTCAGAGTAGGTAGTCCCACTCTGAAACTTTCTCTCCTCTCTCCATGCTTGACTGCCTCGTGAATAAACTTCTGCAAACGTCATAGTTTCAGTGATGGGCACCCAAAACTGACCTGGCATAGTAACAAGTTCAGAGTTCCTGCCTCTGACCTCATCCTTGGTTGTCATTTCTGATTCTGTCTCTCCTCATCCTTCACTCTCTAAAGCAGGTCTTCTCTAGAGACTAACATCTGCGCTGATCCTCTTTATCTGTTTTTCTTTTGTGACTGGGGATTGAACCCTCGGCCTCAAACATGATAGGCAAACTGTACCACTGAGGTACACCCCAGCCCTGATCCTTGCTCCTTGAACCACCACTGGCTCAACCTTCACTTCTGTGGCTGTTTACCAAACTATACTCCACCCTATATGGCTTCTAGGTTCTAGTTACACATTTTGCCTTCAGACTATTTTGCGAGCACTTCAGACATAGTAGACAGAACATGGAAATTTCCATGGCAGTTCAAGATGCTGGCTTGACCAAAAATGGAAGACCCTACCTGAAAAGTGACTAATGCAAAAAAGGGCTGGGGGCATGGCTCAAGTAGTATAGAGTGCTTGCCTATGCAACAAGGCACAAGTCCTTGAGTTCAAACTCCAATACCTCAAAACAAAACACCCTTACCTCATAATGTCCTCATTGATTTGAGATGGTGGAACAGCTGACTGTATAGAAGGGAAACTGACATTTGACTATCACATTATTCACAAAAATAATTTCTGGATAGTATAGCAGACCTAAAATACGAGAAGCAAAACTCTTATGAGAGTATCCTATGTACTGAGGGTAGGGAATGTTTCTTAAGACGTGAAGGCATAAACCATGAATCCAATTTTAAGAAAATTAAGAACTTATATTTATCAAAGGTCACCACCAAGAAAAGACAAGCCAAAAAATATTGGCAACACATAACTACACCAAACTTACAAGTCAATAAAAGATAAATCAATGGAAAAACAGACTAAAGACTTGTATAGGTTCTTCACAAAACAAGCACTCCAAATAACCAGTCAACACAAGGAAAGGTGCTTGGTGTTATCAATAAGAATATACAAAATAAACCCACATACAACCAAAGACACACAAGACTGGCAGAGAATCAAAAATTCCCTCACACCTGTAATCCTAGCTACTCAGGGGATCAGGAGGATCACGGTTCGAAGCCAGCCCAGGGAAATAGTTCGCTGGTTCCCATCTCAAAAAATACCGAACACAAAAAGAGCTGGGGGAGTGGCTCGAGGTGTAGGCCCTTAGTTCAAGCCCCAGTATCGGGAAAGAAAAAAAAAAAAAAAATCACAAAACAGGGTTGGTGGAGTGGCTCAAGTGGTAGACCGCCTGCCTGGCAAGCTTGAGGCCCTCAGTTCAAGCCCTCATAGCGCCCAAAAAAAGCGCGCACGCGTGTGTGTGTGTGTGTGTGCGCCCGCGCGCGCGCGTGTGTGTGCGTGCGCCGCGCGCGCGTGTGTGTGCGTGCGCGCGCAGGGGGTGTGTGTGTGTGTGTGTGTGCGTGCGCGCGTGTGTGTGCGCGTGCGCGCGCAGGGGGGAGGAAGCTTTATCTACCCAGGTTTCCGCTTCATAATGATTCTTTAAACTGTATATTTCATATGTTCTCATCCACGTATGATTATCTCACGATAAGGAAAGTTTAACATCAAAAGAAGCCTAATAACAGAACTTGATACGAGCAAATTGACAGGAAAACATTGCCCAGGTCCACGAAGTCCTGCCTGTTCTAGCTCCGTGCTAGTGTCAACGCCTGCGGGTGTGACGACGAAGGAGGTTACTTTCCTCCTTTCCACACGCTGATAAAACCTAAGCCTCGTGTCATCGGACCCGGGATGAAAAACGCTAGCGTTCCCTCCACACCTCTTCCTCTCGAGCAATGACACCGTCGCTCGTGGCTCTTTATAAACGGGGGTTTGCTGATCAGAGGTCGTGATACGGGGGCGAAAGCGCAGCCGGGGGATCCCACGGACTTGCGGCGCTGGGGCGCAGCCCAGGCCTGGAGCTCCCCACGCCGAGGTCGCCGTCGCGCTCCTTCTTCTCTTCCGGGTCCCGCGGGTGCGGGGCGGAGGCGGCGACGGGCGTCCTCCGCGGCGGGCTCGGGGCTCCGCGGGTCCCCGCCGGGCCGCCCGTGCGTCCTCCCGCCGCCGGGGGCCGCTGTGAGCCGCAGCGTGCCGGGTGCAGAGGCGGTGGCGGCCGCCGCGCGCCTGCAGGGATTCCTGCTTGTGAGCGGGCCCAGCAACCCCCATCCGACACCGCGCCGCCGCCGCCGCCATGGGTAAGGGGAACGGACGCCGCCTCAGTCCCCACAGCCGGGCGAGTCGGGCACTGAGGCCGCCCAGGCGGCTCGCGGGCCGGAACCTGGGGTGGGCGGGAGCATCTCTGGGCTCGGGGGCTCCCGGGGTCGCCATGGCAACGCGCGGCCCCACCTCGCGCCTCCCCGCCCCCGCCCCCGCCCTCCGTTCTGGGGCCTGGTGGCGGAGGTCTCGAGGTCCGGCGGCTTCTAGGGAGGCAGAACAGAGCCGGCCCGGGTGTCGCTGCGAGGTCAGGAGCGCAATCGGGGAGCAACGATGACTTTTCAGGTTCGGGGGTGGCGGAGGGAAGAGGCGTCTCAGGGTTTGGCCTGGGCGCCCGACGCCAAGGGCGAGAGAGGGGCGGCGGTGCCGTGCAAGACGCAGGGTGAGCGCTCGACGGGGTCGGGGTTCGGGGTTCGGGGTCCGGGGACCGGGACGCGCGGGGGCCGTCGGGGGGAAGGGGGCGCGGAGGGCGCCGGCCCGGCGCTGGGCGAACGCTGTCTGGTGGGTCTCCCCGCAGCGATTCCGGCCCGGCCCGGGCGTGGCCGCGAGTGACAGCCCCTCGGGCCCGCGGCCGCGGAGCCTCCCTTTGTGATGGGCACGGGAAAATGGAATTTGCCGTGGATTGTGAAACAGCTGGTGGCTTCGCTCCGGAGAAGAACGGGTGTCATACCACGGTGCAGATGGGAAGAGACGATGTCGTGTGCGAACATCGTCCACCCGCCAGCCTGGTCCTAGCAATTGTCTGCGATGCAAATCGCTAAGATTCAGTGTCGGCCTTCACGCGTAGCCAACCGAAGTCACAACTAGAATACTAGATCACTGGGACTTTGGGAGGATGGATTTGACACCGGGACTCTCTGTTAGCCCAAGCTATCCTGGAACTCTCATCTTCCTGTCTCAGTCTCCGGAGTGCTGGGATTACAGGGGTGTACCACCATGCCCTTCTTTAAAGGGACACCGAAAGACTGGGGGTGCAGCTCAGCAGTGCTGCGTTTGCCTGGCATGTGCCAATGCCCTGGTTTCAATTCCCAGAACCGCAGTAAAATAAAGTGGGCACATTGATTACTTGGATTTGTTCATTTGTCAGAGATTAGAAATATCATACTAAATGCTTCGTTTTTTTCCACATCTTAGTTTCTTTTGTGTTTGCTGAAAATATTCTTGATAGTCACAACAGTGTTGCAAGAATAAGGAAACAGATGGATTTCTAAACGAATAAAATTTGTGGTGAAGAAAATATTTTTTTAATGGAAAACATCCATCAGGACTTTAAAATGTGTCCTTATTTAACTTGATATTAAGACAGAAATAGTGGGATGATCCACAGAGAAAGCATTGGAATATGCAAAAACCATATAGGAAGGCTTCAAATGACTGAAAGAATTGGGCAACTTCTCTGGTAGCCACATGAAAATGTGTTTTATCTGTCACATTTGTTATGGGACATTCTGGCATCTTAGAACTTTACCATTTAGGCATGAGCCACCAGTGCCTGGCTTTTCTAGTTATTACTGGTTTATTCTGGATATCTGTGCTTGGAATTCACACTTATACCTGCTATGTACCATTTGCAGGAGATCCTTAAACTTGTTGTCTACCACCCAAGTTTATCTCCCCAGAGAATCATTTAAAAAAATCATTCTCTATGAGGAGGTCCCACAAAAATAAAACAAATAGAGGAGGATGGCATATTTGCAGACCTTGAGAATGGTTCATGAGCTTTGGCTTTTGTGGGTCTGGGAGTTTGCTGTGGTAAGTGTGAGAGAGACATAAAGAAGCTAACTTGACCTTGGAGAGACACTGGGTTTGTCTGCTGAGGAAAAGTAAATCAGTGCTGGTTTTGTAGGGGAAGGGACAAGTTTTTATGCTTTTTCTGCCATGTCTTGGGAATAATGTCCGGCTTGTCTCGTGCTTTCAGCTACAAAAGACCCAACTGCTGTAGAAAGGGCAAACTTGTTAAACATGGCGAAACTGAGCATCAAAGGACTCATTGAATCAGCTCTAAGCTTTGGGCGCACCCTGGACTCCGACTACCCTCCCTTGCAGCAGTTCTTCGTGGTTATGGAACACTGTCTAAAACACGGCCTGAAAGGTATCACGAGATTTCAGAACTTTCACTCACTCCAGATGTCCCCCCTTTCATCCTAAATATCCTTGAAAATGTATCTTTGAGACCATAATTACTGTTATTTTGCACTGAAAATTATTGAGTGGGTTTATTTTGGAGAAAGTATCACCCCTTTATATTTTCTAATGAATGATCTTCAGAAAATGCTTAACTGTTAGTATTTTGTTTAATATATATATATATATATATATATATATATATACATATATATATATGAGGGTCGAGGGGTGTGGCTCAAGTGATAGAGCACCTGTTTGGCAAGTGCTCAAGAGTTCAAACCCTAGTGCTGCCAAAAAAAAAACAAGATTTTTTTTGAGGCTAGGGATGAGCTTAGTGGTAGAGCACTTGCCTAGGATGCGTAAGGCTCTGATTCAGTCCCCAACACTGTCAAATCAAAGTATATATGATTTAAATTTTTTTCTACTTGTACCCTGAACTGGTTTTCATTTTTTAAGGACAATTACAGAGTTACTTTCTCCTTTCTCCTTGTGATTTTTCTCCCTGAGGGAAAAGTTGCCCATCTTGGTGACTCTCCTTGGGTGATGTATATGCTAGGCTCATTGTAGTTGTTCCCACAGGAGATCTTGTCATTAAGAAAGAAACATGGGGGCTGGTGGAGTGGCTCAAGTGGTAGAGTATCTGCCTAGCAAGCAAGCAAGCGTGAGACTCTGAGTTCAATCCAGTACTGCCAAAAAAAGAGAAAGGAAGAAGCATGATTTCATGGCTTTATTTTGCCCAAATGTCAGAATAAAATAAAAGAGAAAGTAACTCACAGTTTTTCATATTTAAAAGGAAAATACCAATACCGGGCCTTAACATGCTAGGCAAGTGCTTTATCACCAAGTTACACCCCTGGCCCCTAAAACAAATTTTTTGGTGGTTTTGAACTCAGGGCTTATGCACTTGCTAGGCAGGTCCTCAACCACTTGAGCCACGTCTTCAGCCCTTTTTGATTTTAATTATTTTTCAGATAAGGTCTTGCATTTGTTTTGCCTAGACCAGTCTCAGACCAGGATTCTTCTACTTAATTCCTTGTGTGTAGCTGGGTTAAAGGTGGGCACCACCACCCCTGCTTGTTTGTTGAGATGAAGTCTCACTAATTTTTTGCCCTGGCTGGTCTCAAACCATGATCCTCCCTATCTGTGCCTCCAAGAAGTGCATTACAGGTGTGAGCCACTGCACCTGGCCAAAAAAAAAAAAAAAAAAAAAATGAAGATCGCATCTATACTTGTAGCCCAAGAAGGCCTCAAATTTATAATCCTCCTTCCTTTGTCTCCCAAGTGCTGGGATTACAGGTGTGTACCACCACACCTGTTTTTGTGCTTGGTTTATTTAATAAACTTATAAAGATCAATCTTTATGAGATCATTTTATTTTGGTAGTGGTAAAGAATGAGTTTGCTCATGGTTTACTTTAACTACCTTCTTGCCTATTTCTAACATATAGGAATGGCCAAGATGCATTTTTCTGATATGGCCAAAAATTACAGGATGGGCAACAGGATGACTAAACCAGCTCCTGGTCAACAGCTAGGTAGTGGGAAAATAGAGCAGAAAGGGACTGGGTGCCAGTGACTCACTCCTGTAATCCTAGCTACTTGAGAGGCTGAGATCAGGAGGATCAAGGTTCAAGACTAGCCCTGGCAAATAGTTCAGGACACCCCATCTCCAAAATAACCAGAGCAAAATTGAGCAAAATTGGAGGTATGGCTCAAGCAGTAGAGCTTCTGCTTTGCAAGTGTAACGCCCTGAGTTCAAATCCTAATCCCACAAAAAAAAAAAAGAGTGGAAAGGTCTGTGAATAATGGTATGCTAAGTTAGAAATGTTGAAACTACCACAGTTTTATATGTTGAAATCATGTGCACTGTGGTTTTTTTTTTTTTCAGTAAGAAAATCGTTTTTGAGTTATAACAAAACCATTTGGGGCCCTTTGGAACTGGTGGAGAAGCTGTACCCAGAAGCAGAGGAAATCGGAGCCAGTGTCCGGGATTTACCTGGCCTTAAGTAAGCAAGCTTGTTGTAGTGCTCATCCTTGGCCAAGAATGCATTTGCTGCTCCTCCAAAGTGCTTCATGTTCTAGTTCATTAGTCTCTTCGTTTTCTCTGTTCCATTTCCTTTATGAAGCTGAGTTTAGCTCCTTCAGTAAGATTTAACTACCTTTAGCTGGGCACCGGTGGCTCATGCCTTAATCCTAGCTGCTCTGGAGGTGAGACTGGGAGAGTGGTTGTTTGAGGCCAGACCCAGGCAAAACTGTAAGACTCTACCTGAAAAGTAACTAAGGCAAAAAGGGCTGGAGGCATGGCTTAGGTGGTAGAGCACCTGCCCAGCAAATACAAGGCCCTGAGTTCAAACCCTAATACCACAAAAAAACAAAACAGGAAATTCCAAGTCCTTTTAAAATAGGACATATCTATTAACATCTGTTTCCCAAGTGTTAAACCAGTTACACATAGTGGGCAGTTAGTATTTGTTGAAGACTGAATTAGATTGAATCCAGGGCACAGGCCCAGGCAGCTTGAGTCTTAGACAAGTCATTCATTTCCCATAGGACTTTGTGCAAATTACTTTTCTTCCCTTGTAAAATCGGTACCTGTATTACTTGCCTATTTCATCAGAAAAATGCGTATTGAACGTCTTAAAAGTTGGAGTATTCTATTATTATTATTATTTTTGGTGGCACTGGGATTTGAACTCAGGGCCTCACGCTTGCTAGGCACTCTACTACTGGAGCCACTCTGACAGCTCCCAAAACTGGAGTATTCTAGCTAAGTGTTGAAAATGAGTGTTGAAAATGTTTTGCAGATCTGAAGTGCTAAGGCTACATTCTTAGGTTTTTAGTGTATCATTAAGATGGAAGTGCTCACTTTAGCATATACTTAATTTCTATAAATGAGTTAACTTTTTTTTGGGGGGGGATGTTGGTCTGGAGTTTGAACTTGGGGCTTTCTGCTTACAAAGCAGGCTCCCGACCTCTTGAGCCACACCTCCAGTCCATTTTGCTCTGGTTATTTTGGAGATGGGGTCTCTCAAACTATTTGCCCAGGCTGGTCTCGAGCCTTGGTGCTCCTGATCTCAGTCTCCCAAGTAGCTGGGATTACAGGCGTGAGCCACAAGTGCCCAGGGTAATGCTTACCATTTTTCTGTCATTATCAGTTTGGTTTTTTTCTAACCTGACTTCCTTAGGTATTTTTTCTTAGGCACCTTTACAATTTAAGGTTTTTTTTTTTTTAATATGTTTTGGGGAATATGGCGGTATTTTCTTATTATTTTAACATTCATAATGTTTTTCAGTTGGGCTTAATTGCATGATAAAAATAAGTAGCTACTATTAAGCATTGTGTTGGGGAATATGTAACCTTTTTATGTTAATTATCTCATTTAGTGTTTAGGTCAATCTTACAGGGTAGCAGTATAAAAAATATATAGATATAAAAAATAAAGACCAGAGAAATGATAGGTAACAAGTGGCAGAGCCAGGACTTAAATGCAGTTTTTAGAGTTAAGTAGCAAATGATGCCCACATTTGATGTTACCTGTGATGATAGATTAGGTATAGTGGATTTAGATGAAGACAGAATGAAAAAGAAATTTCAACTCTCAAAAGAAAATACAAGCCAGGCACCAGTGAGTTCTCACGCTTGTAATCCTTACTCAGGAGGCAGAGATGGAAGCCAGCCTGGGCAAATAGTTCACGAGACCCTATCTTGAAAACAGCCTCACAAAAAAGGGCTGGCAGAGTGGCTCAAGTGGTAGAGCGCCTGCCTAGCAAGCATGAGGCCCTGTGCCAGGGTCGAAGAGGTCCTTAACCCGAAAGGACTTAGGGCAGAAATGAACAAGACAAGACAAGACACATATTGAGAGGACCAACAGGTGATGACCAACTGGCAAAATTTTATTTCTTTTAGCCAGGCTTATACAAAAGAGAAAGAGACTTAAACATCAAAAACACTCTGACCTAGTTACAACCTTTCTGTGTTTTCCACCCTGCATTCTTCCTGCCAGTGTCCTTGACTAAGTATAAACTTCTTTAGTCAAGGAAAACCATTTAGTGTTCCTTCCCACTGTGATAGAGACATGGTGCACCTGAAGATTCCGACCTTGTCAGAATGCTGCTAAGCCACAGCGACCTTGTCAGACTGTGGCTTTTGGTTCCCAACAGCACTGAGTTCAAACCCCAGTACTGCCAAGAAAAAAAAAGGAAATACAATGTTTGGTTTCATTATAATATGAAAAGACTTTAAAAACAAATTCTGCAGAAATGAAAAGTCATACTGAAGAATGGTGTTCATTAAGTTGCTAAACTCTCAGAAACTCATTATCTATTAGAAGTGAAGGTTAAAGTTTCTTCAAGCCCCCGGCAACATGTTCTCTGCATTACAGCACATGAAGGGGAGAAGATAGTACTCTCTTTAAAAAGTTGTACATTCAGGGCCGGAGGCATGCCTCAGGCGGTAGCACTCCTGCCTAACAAGCACGAACCCTTGAGTTAAAAAGTACACATTCTGTAAAACTTGCTTTTTATTTTCACCAAAAGAGTTTGGGTAAAAAATTATGAGATTCACTTTCCTAAATGCAGTTGGTTAAAGGAAACATTTGAAAAGCAGCATGACTGTCTTTCCTAATAACCAGCTTGGTACCTTTTTACCTTCATTACAGTTACTAAAATTCAGGAAGATCAAGTGTGTTTTGAAGGCATTCCATTGCATATTCAGTTTTAGAAGGCTGAACTCATTTGGATAAAATATTCCTTGTAGAAATATCCGTACTATTTAGAGAATCATTTCTTCCAAGGCATAATAATGGTACTTAAATGTCCTGCAAGGAAAGGTTTACCTACTTCTCAAATATTGGTTGCTGGTTTAAAAAACTGGCTTAAAACTATAAAAATGAAAACAATACCTTGATAAAAAGCCTTTTCTTCGTTAGTGGGTACCTCAAAAGAGATAGAACATGGAGTCTGGGATGTCAGAGCTCAGGCTGTTTTCTGACCAATCACTTCTTCTTAGAACCCCCTTGGGTCGTGCAAGAGCATGGCTTCGATTGGCTCTCATGCAAAAAAAAATGGCTGATTACCTGCGCTGCTTAATCATTCAAAGGGATCTCTTCAGGTTAGTACAATTAAGTCATGTTTATTTTCATTCTTTACTTCATTTATATCTTTTCTTCCGAAAAGAATTGGCTAGACATAAGATGACATATAGTAAAAGGAACAAAATGGAGAGGATAAAAACCATGAGAGGGTGGAACATAGATCAGGAACTAGCCCAAAATAAGAATATCACAAGTTTTTTTTATCCCATGTGATGTAATTTGTATATGTTATATTTCTAAGTTTGTTTCATTTTTCTGAATTACAAGTAATTCTATGGATAAAAACTTACAATAGAATTTGGGGGGTTAATTTCACATTTCTTCTTAGATCTTGAATGTCCAAATTAATGCTTCAGTTGTATTGGGAGCACATTTTAAATTGGAGGCCAAATATTGAAAATAGACTTTTCAGAAACAGGTTATCAGTCTTCAGAGGGCGTGGGCCAAGCACAGCCCTTCATTTGTTCTTTTAGGCTGCCTCTTCAATGTTCTATAGATTATACTCTGTTTTTGGCTTCACTTGTGACTCTGGTTTTTCATCTTGGTTTTCCCATTTTTTAAGTGAGAGTGACCATACTTTGAGCACTGCAGTTTATCCATAATATTCTGAATATAACTAAAGTGATTAAGTAATATACATGGACTTATTGAGGAAGACATAATATAGTGATAGCTATTTTCTGAATATATATTGACAAGTTTTAATTTTAGGCTGTGCTATTTCTTTCATCAGTCTCTTTGAGCATTTTTTAAGAGTGTAGATTCCTGTGTCTTTAAATGATGATTGTGTATTAATGACACAATGTGCCTCTCAAGTACACTGATGTGAACATGGACTTTGAAATGTTTTATGGTTCTTTTCCACCTTAGTCTTTCTCCCAAGGGTCTTAACAAATCCTTAGGCTGAAAATTCAGCTCTAATAAAATTCAGCTGTAATAATCTGATCAGCAATAGTCCCTATGTCCTTCATGTCACTCTTGGAGTTGTCTCTTTTCTTTTGATCTCTCTGTTTTTCTGTCTCAAAACTCTTCTTCCTCTTTTTATTTCTTTAGTCACCCCCCATTTTTTTTTTAAATTTGGTGGGACTGGGGTTTGAACTCAGGGCTTCACACTTGCAGAACTTTACCACTTGAGCCACTCTGCCAGTCCATCCTTTAATCCTTTTCTTTTGATATTTCTATATAGAAATGAAAACTTGGAAAAGTTAATTTGTAGAAAGGCTAATTCAAAGATACCTGACTTGGATTGTTTCCATCTCTATAAGGTGGAAGATTAGGTTTCAAAATTTAGTTTTAGAAATAAATTTGTGACTGAAAGGTTTTGTTCTCTGAATTCTCGCAGTGAATTCTATGAGTACCATGCCCTAATGATGGAAGAAGAAGGCGCAGTAATCGTTGGGCTGCTGGTCGGCCTGAATGTGATAGATGCTAATCTGTGTGTGAAGGGAGAGGATTTAGACTCACAGGTAAGTAGCACGCAGTACAAATGCCTTGTGTCTTCCTGGCTCACTTCCTCCTCATCTGGTGTCCCTTGAAGTTGTACACAGTGCTGTTAAACATGTAAAGGAAAATTGGGTGAAAATTGTTTGCAGGTTGCTATCAGTCAGACTTTGTGTCACTGTAACAGATACCTGAGAGCTGAGAGAAACAACAGCGTTTCAGAGGGTTCGGTCCATGATCAGCTTCTCTGTTGCTATGATCTTGTGGTGAAGCAGGAGGGTGTGCAGAGCAGAGTTGCCTACCACATGGTGACCAGTAAGCAGAGCGATGTATAGATAGGGGCCAGGGCCAAGATATACCCTTCAAAGGCACACCCCCAGTGACCCACTTTCGACAACTAGGCTCCACTTTCCACAGCTCCACCACCTTGAAATTGTCTATTCAGAATTTGAATTTATCAGTGGATTAGCACGTTGATGAAGTCAGGTCCCTGATGATGTAATCATCTCTGGAATGGCCCTCAAAGACACTCCTGGGGGGTGCTCTACTAATCTCCTAGGCAACTCCCAGTCCAGTCAGGTTGACAGTCTGATAATTAACCTTCACACCTGTTTGATAAAGTATCATTTTAACTTCAGGTTGGGGTGATTGATTTTTCCATATATTTAAAGAATGAAGAAGATACTGGAAATAAAGAAAGGTATGATTTTCTTAAGTTTTTTCATGTTGTGTTTTTTTATATAGCTTTTTACAAATGAATTTGAGATCCACCTATACACAGTGTGGTATGGTGTGTGCTCCTTCCCCACCCCTACCATGATTTCTGCTTACTTTCATTTTCACTTCCTTTAAAGTTTTGCAAAGCAAATAAGGAAAAAAATCACTTAGAAGGTGACTTTTGTATGAAGTAGGACTTTTGGTCATACCTGTGCTTACTGAGACTCATTTTAATATAATAGTTGTATTTTGTGATAATGGCAATTTACTTCAAGATCTAATTAGCTTTAAATTTGAAATGTATTAATAATACTGTTAAATCTGACATTAGCAAGTTCAGTCAACAAAGGTTGTAGTTACTTAGAATCAGCTTACCACCATGTGATTACAAAGACTCTTGAACTTTTGCTTTTTAAAGACAAGGCAACAAATTTTAGATGATTTAGATTTTTTTTTTCACTTTTCCAACTAGCACAAAGCTACTTTTTCCCCCCTTAGGAATGTTCAAATTGCTGCCATCTTAGACCAAAAGAATTATGTTGAAGAATTAAATAGACAACTCAAGTAAGTATTATCGATACTTAGTGTATTTATATTGTTCTAGGGTTTTTTGTTGTTGTTCTCAGTTTAACCTGATTCCTTTCTTCTAAGAAGCTGGCTAAAGGGATAGACACAGAAGAGAAGTTAAAAATCCAGAAAGGGCTGGGTGTGGCTCAGCAGTAGAGCACTTGCCTTACCTGCACGAGGTCCTAGGTTTGAGCCCCACACTATAAAAAACAAAAACACCTGAAGAATTATTGGCAATAATTCATTTTTATCAAAAAATTAGAATCTGATTTTAAATAGAATCTTCAAAGAATCTATACAGAACTTTAAACTTATCTCCTGTACCCTTGTGAAAAAAAGTGTGAATAAGATGAAAGTTTATATCATTTTGATGGTTCACAAACTTTTCCTTCTTCAGAGGGTTTCATGTGCAAATCTGGGTGCCCTCTTTTATGGAGGAAGTTCTCTATGTTTTCATCTGGACGTAGAAATCAGTAAACATTTAGCTGAGAAAAATTTCTAAAAACTATGTAAAATAGACTAGTGCAGTCTAATAGGAATATAATGTAAGACAAGTCAAATTTTCTGGCAGCCACATTAAAAATAAAAAGTAATAATATATTTTATTTAATCAAGTGTACCGAGAATATAATTTCAATATGAGTGTAAAAATTACTGGTATTTTACAGTCAGGCGTGGTGATGTGCACCTGCAATCCCCGCACTGGAGAGGCAGAAGCAGAAGGATCTTGAGTTTGAGGCCAGCCTGAGCTACATAGGAAGACTCTGTGCCTCCCAAAAAATCCAAAACAAAATAAGTCAAAAAAACCCCAAAAACAAAAACCTAACAGAAAACAACACTATTGAGGGCTTATTTTCAAAGCTTTTTTTTTCCTTTTTGTGGTATTGGGGATTGAAACCAGGGCTTTATGCTAGGCAAACACCCAACCACTGAGCTACATCCTCAGCCCCTCAAAGCTGTTTTGTTGTTGTGTTTATGGTATTGATCTCCACATGAAGGCAAGGCAAATGTTACCAGATTTTATAGAAAGGAATTTAAAGAGCTGAGGGTGTTTTTTAATAAAAAGAAACGGAAGCTCAGAAAGGAGTATAGCTTTCAATATGGCACAGTTAGAAAGTAGAAAGGCAGGGCCCATAACCTGATCTTACAGCTCCCAGTCCTGTTCTCATCTTTGTCACCATTAGGACATCATATGCTATTTGTGGAATCATTCAAGTTGTTTACCTATGAATGTTACTGTTACGTTTACTTATTTATTTAGTGGTACTGGGGTCTGAACTCAGGGTCTACACCATGAGCCACTCCACCAGCCCTTCTCCCCCTTTTTTTTGTGATGGGTTTTTTTCAAGATAGGGTCTGTGAACTATTTTCCCAGGCTGGCTTCAAACCGAAATCCTTCTGGTCTGTGCTTCCTGAGGAGCTAGGATTATAGGCGTGAGCCACCGGCACCCAACCTGAATGTTATATTTATTTTAGTTTATTCTTTTCTATGTAAGAAGTCTTTATTAAGGTACCCCATTTATTGGCATAAAAATGAAAGTTCCAAATTAATCATAGCATTGTTTTATTTTCACAATGGATTTTTTTCTCAAATCCCTTTGAAATTAAACAGACTTAAATGGAAATATATCCTTCTATGTTATAGCTGCATCCCAAATCACAAAGACCCCACTTCCCATTAACTTGTATGGTTGGAATTTTATTTCCTCATGTTATCCAGTATACAAAAATAATCTTTGTGTCAATAGTTAAAAAGAGAGCCTTAGGTTTTCAAATGAATTTCCAAGTCACCAAAAAAACCAAAACCAAAAGCAAAAAAATCACCAGTATCCAAAACTTTTTTTAAAGCAATAAAAATTTCTTTTTTCTAAAAAGGTATTTACAGACTAAAATTGAAACACTGCATTGCCATCAGTATAATTATATAAGAGCATGTGAAGCCCTAGGAAAGAGGAAGTATTTCATTATAAAAAAAATATGGAATGCTTCACGAATTTCTGTGTCATCCTTGCACAGGGGCCGTGCTCATCTCTGTATCATTCCAATTTTAGTATATGTGCTGCCAAAGCGAGCACCTGAATATTATATTTAAAAAAATAATTTTAAAATATCAAAACTAGTTGCTGAGGCCAGTATAAAATTTGTTCTGTGTATTTTTCAAACTATGGGTGATTTGCTGGTTTCTGAGTTATGAGAAGAGAAGAAACAGAAAGGGGCTGGACATTGTCTCTTTATACTCTTCAGTTAAACCACATAATTCTAAAATGTGTGTCTAAAGTTCATCCTTTCAGAAATAATCTTAAGCCTGGTGTGGTGGTCTTTGTCCGGTTACCCCTGCAAGAGGCTGAGGCAGGAAGATTGTAGAGCTGTGCTACATACTGAGCTCCAGGCCACCTGGGCAACATAGACCCTGTCTCAAAACACCAGGAGGAATGGAATTTTTTTAAAATACAATTTTAACAGTAGTTAGTAATCTTCTTGTGGAATTTCTGTTTCCAAATATTATCATTTAAATATTAGAAGGACCCTAAGAAGACAATGAAATATAATGAGAGCCAGGCATGGTAGTGTACGTCTGTAATCCCATCATTAGGGAGGCAGAGGCCAGAGGATTATGAATTCAAGACCAGCCTGGGTTACATAGTGAGACTGTCTCAGAAAACCAAAGGGTTGGGGATATAACTCTGTGGAGAGCATTTGCATAGCATGCGCAAGGCCCTGGATTCAGGCCTCCAGCACTGAAAAAGTAAAAACAACAAAAAATGAGCAACAACACATGGATTTTTAGTAGAAATATTGATTCTTTTGCCACAATCCTCATTGTGGTCCTGGCTAAATCAAGTTATCCAAATAAACGAATTTTCTCCCATCTAGAAATTTGTGCAGAGTTGGTGGAATGGCTCAGGCTTTAGAGTGTCTGCCTAGTTAGTGTGAGGCCCTGAGTTCATATTCCAGAACCACCTAAATAAAACAAAACAATAACAACTATACTACTGCTAATAAATATTTAAGAAAAAAAAGAAATAACAAAAGACATGTATGCGGGGTAGTCGGCGTGTGTGAGTTAACAGGAGTCTGAGGTTACGTACTTTCTCTTGTCTTTGGGAGCGTGCATGATTTTGAATGAATTTTTCTTTGCTAATTTCAGCAGCACAGTCAACAGCCTCCATTCAAGAGTCGATTCATTAGAAAAGTCAAATACTAAGCTGATTGAAGAGGTATTGTCACCCAGTGATGGATAACTGTCTTTCATGGACCTACTTCTTGTGAGCTTTTTCCATGTTAAGTATGAATGCATTAAGTGCACGCACACACGCACACTTGTCATGATGGAATACTGAAGTTGTCACTGATGATTGTAAGTTCTAGAGAAACCACATATCTTTAGACAAAGTATCAGTTATACGAATCTGTGAGATGTTATTTGTGCTACCCATCCTCTAGAAATGAGCCCCCGTGGTGAAACTTCCACAAAGTCTTGTATAGATAAGGTGTGACTCATTTTATTTTATTTTTATTTATTTATTTAAAAAAATTTTTTTAGTATACGAAACAAAACTGAAGCTATTTATTTATATCTATTTAAATTAAAGCATCTTTTTTTATTATTCATTTATTCACATGTGCATGCATTGTTTGGGTCGTTTCTCCCCTGCCCCCTCCCCAACCCTCTCTAACCCCCCCACCCCCGGGACTCATTTTAAATTGGATGCCCTATATTTAGGTAGCAGAGGAACTCTAGTAAGAGATCCTTGTTAAAGTGATACTGCCCCTGTCATTCCACTAGTTAGATCATTTTTCTTCAGAAGCGTAGCTGCATGTCCTAATCCACCCTTCTTCTGCCCTCTCCTGTGTAGAACTCACCCCACCACCGTGGGGTCCTGCCTTGTGAAAGTGGCTGGGTGTCCAGTGGTCCCAAAGCTCATTTGCAGAAGACCCCCATTCAGCCTGTAAAAAAGTCCCAATCTCTCTTTTTAATACTATTTGTAGAGTTGCTTTTTTTAAATTATTACTTTTTAATTATTTTTGGCAGTATTGCGGTGTTGAACTCAGGGTCTAATGCTTGCTAGGCAGGTGCTCTACCACTTGAGCCACTCTGCCAGCCCTAGAGTTGCTGTTTTAGGATAAGTTTTTTTCTTTACTCTTTCAAGTCAGAGTTATTGCTTGCTATTTTCATCATTATTTTGGCCTGAAGAAGCAGCCTGTTAATAGTGCTATGAACCCTGTTTTCCATGTTGATTAAAACTCTTATTTCTTGGGCTCAAGTGGTAGAGCATTTGCCCAGCAAGCCTGAGGCCCTGAGTTCAAACCCCTGTACCTCCAAAAAAGAAAAAAAAAAATCTTAGAATTGGTCTGATTTTTTTTTTTTTTCTGAACCAAAGGGTAGATGATAATTTGCATGACTGCAATTAGGAATGCACGTGTGCATCGATGGTGGGACTCCAGATCAGGGCTATCAGAGAGCTGGTGTGCCTCTGCTTGACCGTAGGCATGCTGTGGGGCTCATGTGTGTTCATGAAAGTGTGTTTAGAAGTGTAGCAGTTACACTTCAGTCTCTGCTTTCCCGGGATCCTGGTTTACATGCTCTGCCTCAGAGCCAAGCCACCTACTCATTCATGTTTAACTCTGATGGTGAGAGTGTCTTATTTGCCATAGTCACTCAAGTAATTGTTCTGTGTCCTGTTACTTTCACATGGTGTCCTGTTCAGTCACCATGCATGTCTGTTACACATTCAGGGGTAGCTCAGTCTTCTTTCCTTAGGCACGTTTGTATGTTTATACAGGTCTTTACAGTCTTCTTGTTTAACATCGTTATTCACATGCTGGCTCCCACACCTTGTATTCAGGACATATTGTAAGCCTGACAGTAAGCATAATATGTTTACTATAAGCACAACAAATAAGCAGCATGTGTTTCGACTGCAAAAAAAAAAAAAAGTAGATACAGCACAAAAAGAAATTATTTTTAAATTGGTATCTTGGGATGGTACAGAGTACATTTTTATTGTGACAGTTTCTGTAAACAAGAGAGCCATTTTACTAGTTTTAAGATTTTATTTTCTACTGTTTATAGCCATGAACATAATGTAAAAGCAAATATAAATAAATATGTTAAAATTTTTTTAAATTTCTGATTTGTAATTTTCAGTTAGCAATAGCAAAGAATAATATCATTAAACTCCAAGAAGAAAACCATCAGTTACGAAATGAAAATAAGTTGATTTTAATGAAAACACAGCAGCATCTAGAGGTAAGTATAGATGCTTTCAAACAGACCATCCTGTGTAGAAATTACCACGCTAAGGGACTTGCATGAGCAGGCATGTGTTTATAGTAGTGAATGTAGACTACAGAGTTTGATGTTTTCTTCCTAGGTTACAAAGGTGGACGTGGAAACTGAGCTTCAGACATACAAGCATTCCCGGCAAGGTCTAGACGAAATGTATAATGACGCCAGAAGGCAGCTTCGGGATGAGTCACAGTTGCGACAGGTAGCTCACATTGCAGTCACACTAGCAGAGTCCCTTACCCAGCAAGCACCATGTCCAGTTGCTCTAGCCTTGTCTTTGATGAGGATAAGCAAGTGCACACCCTTAATGTGCTCAGATGCTTCCCACTCCCACTCTGTTGGTGCTTTGAAAACTGTGTGTTGTAAAATGAATAGGTTATGACCAGCATTACAAGATAACCTACAGTAGAGTGAAATATGCAGATATTAGTAAAACCATGTTTAAAAGCAACTGCTTTTACCCCTTGAAATTGTGAAATCTAATAGAGAAAAATGCAAGTGGACAGCTTAATGAATTATAGTTTAAATACCTATCAACTTCCCAGGTCAAGAAGAAAATATTGCCAGCCTTTTCCCATTTGTCTTTAACTTTAGTAAACTTCTTAATGTCATAAAATTTTTTTTTTCTTTTTTCTTTTGTTGTGTTAGAGATTAAACTCAGGGCCTCACTTATGCGAGGCGAGCACTTTACTACTGAGCTACCTCTCCAACCCTTTTGTTTGTATTTTATTTTTGAGATAGGTTGTCAATAATTTTGTCTGGATTGACCTTGCTATGTAACCCAAGTGGGCCTCAAACTCAAGATCTTTCTGCCTCTATCTCCTGAGTAGCTGGGATTACGGGTGTGCACCAATATGCCCATAATTTTTTTTTTCAAGAAAAGAAGTCAAAATTGTTTTGAATTATCTTTGGTCTTTACTTACATAGGCTGCTTGCTTCATATGCTTTTATTTAAAGAAAGTTAATACTAAATTTTTGAGGCATAAAAAATACATTAATAAAAATAACAGAATATCGAAGATGCTTTAATTTTAATAAAAAATATATTTGAAAATATTTAAAATTATGTTATTGTAAGACCTGGCTGATTTTTTTTTTGGGGGGGGTGGCACTGGGATTTGAACTCAGGGCCTTACGCTCACTAGGCAGGTACTCTACCACTTGAGCCACTCTGCCAGCCCCCCTTTTTTTGAGACAAGGTCTTGCTATATAGGCCACCAGGCCTTGTATGATTTTCCTGCCTTAGCTTCTCAAGTGCTGGGCTTGCAGGCATGTGTCACCATGTCTGGAATAAGTTGATTCTTTTTTTCTTTTTTTGACAGTATTGGGGTTTGAACTCAGAGCTTTGTGCTTGCCAGGCAAGCACTCTGCCACTCGAGCCACACCTCCAGCCCATTTTGCTTTTATGTTATTTTTCATAGAGGGTCTCATTTTTAACCCAGGTTGGCTTTGGAGTATAATCCTCCTACCTGTGCCTCTCCTGGTAACTGGAACCACAGGCCTATACTACCATGCCTGACTTATTTGTTGAGATGGGTTCTTACTAACTTTTTGTCTGGGTTGGCCTCAATCTGTAATTTCCCTATCTCTGATCCTGTGTAGCTGGGATTATAGCAATGAGCCACTGTACTGGCACATAGGTTGATTCTTCAGTAGACTTATATGGAATAGTTGAGTAGAAAATTTTTCCTGATGTCATTAACTGCTGTTAATTTTGACTTTCTTTCTTTTTTTTTTTTTATGGTTCTGGAATTTAAACTAAGGGCCTACACCTTGGGCCACTCCACCAGCCCTTTTTGTGGTGGGTTTTTTAAAGATAGGGTCTCACGAACTATTTGCCCAGGCTGGCTTTGAACTGCAATCTTCCTGACCTTTGCCTCCTGAGTAGCTAGGATTATAGGCGTGAGCCACCAGCGCCTGGCAATTTTGACATTCTGAAGTAGCACGTGACTTGAAGATGTTTTGAAATTTCAGGATGTGGAGAATGAACTTTCAGTACAAGTTAGTATGAAACATGAGATTGAACTTGCCATGAAGTTGTTGGAGAAGGATATCCATGAAAAACAAGATACTCTGATAGGTCTTCGGCAACAACTGGAGGAAGTTAAAGCAATTAACATAGAGATGTATCAAAAGTTGCAGGTAAATAGTGCTTCTAAATTCTTTACATTGCTAGAAATGGAACCCAGAGCCTCACATGCCATGCAATGCTCTGCTACTAGCTACCCTCTCCCCGCCACCCCCCCAGCCCAGTTTCTTTCTATGTAGATTTAAAGTGAATATTTGTAGGAAGGTTTTGCGGTACTGGGATTTGAACTCCCTGCCTCACAGTTGCAAGGCAGGTGTTCTACCAAATGAGCCACTCCACCAACCCTGTAGGAAGATTGTGTTTTTTAAGAGATGACCCCGTTTTAACTGTCGCATACTGGTTATAAAAGTTTTTTTTTTCCTAAATGGAAGCTTAATGCAATGAAAATGTATCAAAGAACAACAACAAAACCCTATCTGAACTAACTTCCCTCCCTTCCCTTCCTCCTCCTCCTCCTCTCATTCTCTCATTCTTTCTTTCTTTGAGTGGAGGGCAGAGGAGTGGGGTTTGAACCCTGGCCTGACACATGGTAAGCATGTGCTCTACCCCTGAGCTCTCTCTCATGCCTGAAGTTTTTTTTTTTTTGGTCTGGGTTATCAGTCTTAGGGCTTTGTGCATGCTAGGCTAGCCATCTAACACTGAGGTACGTTTCTAGCCCATTTTTGGTTTCTTGAGACAAGGTCTCTCTGTGTAGTCCAGGGTTGCCTCCAATTCAAGATCCTGATGTCTCCAACTCCTGAGTCCCTGGGTTAGATGCATGCATCACCACACCCAACTTTTTTTTTTTTTGGTGGTGGTCATAGTGGGGATCAAAACTCACCCCCCGCCCGACCCCCCGCAGTCTCTGCATGAGTGCCTGGTGTGTGCTAGGCAAGCACTTCATCCTGAACTACAGCCCTGGCCCCTTTTGTTTGTTTTTTTTGTGTGTTGCAGGGGAGGGTTAGGAAACCCAGGGCCTTGTGCATGCTAGACAAGCACTGTTCCTCTACACGACATGATACTCCAGCTCCTCTTTATTACAGTTTAAATGAGGGTTAGTGGTATTATTTTTTATCACAGAATTTTGTTTTGTTTTGTTTTTTTGAGATAGGTTGTGCTACATAGCCCAGGCTGATCTGTAACTCACAAATCTTCCTGCCTCAGCCTCTCAAATACTGGTTTTACAGGCATGTACCACCATGTCTAGCCAGAATTAATATTTTTTATTACTTTTATTTATTTATTTTTGGCAGTATCAGGGTTTGAACTCAGAGCCTCACACTTGCTAGACAGGTGCTCTACCACTTGAGCCATTCCGCCACCCACAGAATTAGTTTAATGTCCAAATTAATTCTGCCTGTTTCAAAGCAACAATCTCACTGTAAGATACAAATAGGAAACTTATAAACTTTCAGGTATATAAGTCAAAACCACTATAGCTTTTATGTTTTTATAAACAGGGCTCTGAAGATGGTTTGAAAGAAAAAAATGAAATAATTGCCCAACTAGAAGAAAAAACCAATAAAATTACTACAGCCATGAGGCAGCTGGAACGAAGGTACCGCACCTCCAGTGTTAGCTGCTTCTTCTCCCTCCTCCCTTTTTCTCATTCAACTCTGACTGCCACAGAAACAATTAGAAAGATTCAGATTAGGGCATGGTTTTGTTTTAGCCAAGCAGGGCTTTTGCTTTTTGTTTAGTTGTTGCATGGAATCAAGTTGCTTTGTATTAGGCTGATTGATTTGAAGTTGCCATCTTGCAGAATTTTCAAAAAGGCTTAACAGCAGCAATTTCATGTGGTTCAATCTATAACATAAAACAAACACACAAACAAAAATCTGAAAGAATTAAAAATCAACAAAAGCCATGGTGGGATTGTCCCAGATTGATTTCTATGCATATTAATTGTCATACCCTCTGCCACTCCCGGTCTCTTTACCTGAACTCCAGCGTTCTGAACAGCAACTTAATTTGGTTTCTTTGAGCTAGGACACTCAGCCTAACCCAAGATAGAATTTTGTTTAAATTGAATTGTTTTATATTGGCATTTTTCACTTTTATTATTGGAAAATGTAATGTACTTCCATTGCCCTGTCATGTTGATGTCAACATATGTCTTACCATTGCTTTCTTTGAATCTGCTTATGAAAAACATAACTATTAATGCTTTATTGACATGAATATTCTTTTATTGACATCCTCTTTCTTCTTTTTTCTTTTTTGTTTTCTTTATCCCCATTTTTACATTTTGGACATCTTTATTACCTTTTTCTGTCTTTGATTTCTGTCCATTCCATTATGAAGTGACAACGATTTGTTAACTCAAACTAGGACGATTGCAATGTCATTGGTGAAATGTGCCAGCAGTGACACACAGGACCAGTGCAAGCTGGTCAAAGATATATCTTTCTGAAAACCACGCTTGTTAAGCAGACCGAAAGAGAACCCATAATTTTATAATATATTAAATTACAAAAGAATTTATGTTCTTAAGCATCCTGAAAGGTCCTGGGAGCCCTGTGCACTTTGTGGTCAGTCGCCATGAGTATACTGCCGTAAAGCACAGAAGGTGCAGTTGGATTTCCCTCGGACCTCAGCATGAGGGCCCATTTGAGTATTGACCATTTGGGGTCGAATCTTCAAATGCGATTTTATCTTTTTAGCTACTTTTTGATGGCAGATATAAAAGCATTGTTTAAAAATACATTAATTCCTGTTTTCACAACATATTGGCTCAGATACTTCTCTGTCCATTGGCCAACTCTGCCTAGTGGCTCCCTTACTGATCTTTAAGTGTTTGAAAATAGTTTCTAACCCAGATTGGCCATCACTCTGTGCTTTAGCATCTCACCTTTCCAGTCCCCTCCAGCCCTCTTCTGTGATAGCACAACTTCAAGGCCTACCTCACTCTGACTGATGTCTGGTAACCTTAGAGAAAAACGGGCCCACTTCCACCACCTAAATATTTTCATTTAAATTTAAACTCTGAGATAATGTAGATGTTCTTCTGCTTTCCTTGGAGACAGCATTTATACTCCTGACATGTGTTAGGTTGCCCCGTTAGTATGATTTTAAGGCAGGAAGGAAGAGGCAGGAGTTTTTTGTTAGTTGAACAGAAGTTTCTCTTGTGATTCCAAACAAGGAGATAATGACCATTGAATCCTGGTAAATATTTTCTTATAAAACATTAAAATGAAGTCGTGGAAATCCTGATGGCCAAGGGAGGCAGGGAGTGGAGCTAAGCCTGGGGAGAAGCAGTGACTTTCAAGTAAAAACAGAAAAACTGAAGAGCAGAACATTTTTAGCTAATTTTTAATAATCACTGGTGAGAAATAAAAATATCTAGAGAATGATGCCAACTAGCACTAAGTCCTTTTTGAATCTTAAAAATATACATATATATATACACACAGATATATATATATATATATATATACACATACACACACACACACATACATATATCTTTGACATAATTTAGTAAGTCCATAAAAATCTGATAGCAAGGACTCTGCTGTTATTTGGAGTAATTGTAGGTCTTTGCTCTTGGCCTTGTAGCACACTTGATTCCTGGCATATGCATCTTAGCATAACATATATAATGGGTGACTTCTTCACCTATTGTACTATGCTTTTTTTTGGTTTTGTAAAAAAGCAGTAACATATCTGTTAAACTTTGAAATTTGACTCATAATGCTTACACAACTGGTAAAGGCTGTATCGCTTTGCATTGTTAATCACAAACAAGAAATAAAACAAATTTGAAGATAGTATTCTGGGCATATTATATGTTGTATGGAAAAAAAAAATCACAAAACAATTTCTAGACATTGTGTGGCTCTTTCACGTTTGAGTTTGTGAGTTTCCCCCCAAACTTTGTTTTCATTTAGAAATGTTTCTATTTCCCCATTTTTCTTTTATTTGTCTTCTTCACCCTTTTACACCCTAGTTCTAGCCTCAGTTTTACCCAAAGTTGATTTGAATTACACCAGATTGCAGCAATCAGAGAAGGCGCAAATGGAAGCTGAAGGTGAGGACGAGAAGTTTCTACAGGAATGTCTGAGCCAATCCGACAGTCTGCAGAGACAAATCTCTCAAAAGGAGAAGCAGCTGTGAGTATTTGCTCTTGAAACAAAAACTTGTATTAGCATAATTCCCTCCCAGTTTTTTTGCAAATACCAAAATTTTATTAATCCAATGATGCCAGCTAATATGTTCACTTTAAAAATTAAAGAAAAAATTAGACTGAGGACGTAGCTTAGTGGTCATGTGCTTGCCTAGCGTACCTAAGGTCCAGCATGGAACAAAAATTGAAAATATAATTGTGGTGACACATCTTCAGTACTTTTATTGTTTACTAAGTTCCCTCAGCTCTCTCTTGCTGTCTCTGCTAGGAGAGTTTTCTTCTCTTGTTTAATATTAATCTGATGGCCATTAGATACTGAGTATAATAGGCTTTTATAACTCCAGGGAATATGTTATCAAAAAACATGCTGTGTTCTGAGAATTTTTTTTTTCAGTTTTGGGGATTTAACCCAGAGTCTTGTGCATGTCAGACAAGCACTCTACCACTGAGCCACACCCCCTCAGCCCTTCTGAGAATTTTTTTTTTTTTGATACTTTATATGATCTATTTATCACCAACTAGGAAGGATGTCAGTATATGTCACGGAGTTAGTGCAAGCTTGGAAGCCAGGCATGGTGATGCACATCTGTAATCCCAGCACTCGAAAGGCTGGGGCAAGAGGATCATGAGTTTGAGACCAGCCTGGGCTATATAATTAGACCCTGTCTTCAGAAAAAAAAAAAAAAAAAGCAACTTTGTATACAGATTGTTGAATTTGATTACATTTTAAAAATGAAGTTAAAACATGTATGTGTATGTATTTATATGTAGTTAGAAAAGTTTTGGCTTTGTGGGTGTTTTCTTTTGTGGTGCTGGGGTTTGAACCCAGGGCCTCACATATGCTAGGCACATGCCGTATCACTGAGCCCAGAGAAGAATTTAAAGAATAGATTCTGGAAGAAGAGTGTCTCTGGGGAGTGATAGCAAATTGGTAAGAGCATTTTTTAAAAACTTTGCAAACCTCTGTGTTTTTTCCCCAGTAAGTATGTACCACTTTTGTTATTAAAAGAAAATAACAATGAAAAAATAGAAATCTGTTAACAGGTCTTACAATAAGACAAATTCCATATGTGATGAGTAAATTATTAATCTGCCTTTACATCTACTGTATCCTTAGTGATTTTCTCTCTAGTATTTTTGTTAATTATAGATGGTCCCCAATTTAGGATGTTTCAGTTTTGTTTTGTTTCATGTTGTGTTGTTTGGTTTTTGAGACAGAGTCTTGCTGTGTAGCTCAGGCTGACCTCAAAATCAGTCCCCATGCCTCAGCCTCTGGATGCTGTGTGTTTATAGCCATGCATCACCGTGTCTACCTGTGAGATAAGACTTTTTGACTTTTATGATGGTTTGAAACTATACTTCCAACTTGGTCCTTTCCTGGGCTTCTGCTAGCCTCTCACCATGCTGGGCAGCATCAGGGAGCCAGTGACTCCCACAAGAAGTTGAGGGTAAACTCCTAACACTCCACAGCATTCTGGGTTGCTGAGCGATCATGTATAGTAGGTTAGGTGGATGGTGGTTTTTGTTTTTTGTTTTTTGGTGAGAGGGTGTCACTTGTAGCCCAGGCTGGCCTAGAACTTGAACTCCTCTTGCCTCTGTCTGAGTGCCCAGCTGGTTAGGTGTGTTAAATGCATTTTGACAATCAGTATTTTCAACTTGATGGATTTATTAAGATGTAACCCTACCATAAGTTGGAGAAGATCTGTACTGAGGAAAGATATTTGAAATTTCCAACTATAATTGTGTATTGTGTATTTCTCTTTTCAGTTCTACTTGTTTCTGCTTCCTTTTATATCTAGTGTAATTCTGATATATTAGAGCTTATATCTATCATCCTTTTACTTATTTTGTTCTCTGTTTTTCGCTCCTATATTTGATTTTTTCCTGCCTTCTCTTGGGTTACCTGAACAGTGTTTAGAATTTCATTTTGGCTGAGCATGGTGGTTGACTCCTATAATCCCAGCTACTCAGAAGGCAGAGTTGGGAAGGATTGAAGTTCAAGGTCAGCCCAGGCAAAAAGTTAGTGAGACCCCATCTCAACAAACAAGCCAGGCATGGTGCACAACTGTAATCCCAGTGATGTAGGAAGATGGGTAGGAGCTTTGGGATCTGAGGCTAGCCCAGGGAAAAAATTTGAGACCCTATCTGAAAAATATCCTAAAAGCAAAAAGGGCTGGAGGTGTGGATCAAGTGATAAACACCTAGCAAGTCCAAAGCCATGAGTTCAAACCCCAGTATTGCCTAAAATAAAATTAAAAAAAAGTTTGGTATATCTATAGTGATTTTGAATGTTTTTTACACTCTCCTTTTACTTTATAATTTGCTTAAATTTTTCCTATATATAGAAAATAAAATCAATTAGAAAATTTTATTTATGCTTCAACCATTAAACATAATTTAATAGTTTTTATTTAATTTTAAAAACTTCCTTTTCTATTTGTGTGTGTGTGTGTGTGTGTGTGTTTTTGTTTTGTTTTTCATTTTTTGAGAGTAGGACTCGATATGTAGCCAAGGATAGTCTGGAACTCACTGTGTAGACCAGGCTGGCTTTGAACTCAAAATCCTCCTTGTTCTACTGCCAGAGTGCTGGGATTACGTGCATGTACCACCGTGCCTGGCTGGTTTTGTTTTGTGTTCTAGGGAATGAATCCAGGCCATGCAAAGCAAGCTCCCTACCATGGAGCCCCACCCCAGTCCATCTCCCCATTTTTCTTTCTTCATTCCTGAAGTACCAAGTTTCCTTCTTTGTATCTAAAATTTTCCCTGGCTATCCTTTTAGCATGGGTAGCTGGGAATAAATTCTATTTTACTTTAAATTCTGAAGGTTATTTTCATTGGGTAAAGTTTATTTATTTATTTATTTATTTTCGGTACTGGGGCTCTAACTCATGGCCCAAGCCTTGAGCCCGCTCCCAGCCCTTTTTTTGTGATAGGTGTTTTTGAGATAAAGGTCTCACGAACTATTTTGCACAGGCTGACTTCGAACCGCAGTCCTCCTGATCTCTGCCTCCTGAGTAGCTAGGATTACAGGCGTGAGTCACCAGCACCTGGCAAGGGTATAGTCTTTTTAGAACTTGAAAAATGTGCTTTCTTGGCTTCTGATGAATAAACCCTGTCAATTGAATTATTGTTCCTCTGAGGTACCATGTCATTTCTCTTAATTGCTTTCGAAATGTTTTTTGTTTCTCTTGTGCTGGAATTGAACAGGGCTTAGAGCATGCTAGGTAAGCACTCTTCCACTGAGCTACATCCCAGTCCTTTCAAAATTCTTCCCTTGGAGTTTTCCTATTCAGGGTTTGTGCAGCTTCTTGAAGCTATATGTTTATGTCTGACAAAGTTAGGAGAATTTTAGGCATTATTTCTTCATATATGTTTTTCATTTTCATTTGTTCTTTTCCCAGTCCTTGAGAATGTCAGATCTTCTCTTTATAGTCCCAAAGGACACCTGAGTCACCTCCACCAAACTGTTTTCTCTTTGCTCATTGTTTCTGCTGTTCTGTTTTCACATTCATTCTTTCTTTCCTATTACCTTCATCCCTCTGTTGAGCCTATCCAGTGAGATCATTAGAATTTTCAATTGTAAGATTTCCATTTGACTTTTTTTTTTTTTCTGGGTGGGACTGGGGTTTGAACTCAGGGCTTCATGCTTGCAAATGCTCTACCACTTGAGCCATCCCTCCAGGCAATTTTGCTCTGGTTATTTTGGAGATGGGGGTTGGTTCTCAAGCAGTATTTGCCTGGGTTGACCTTGAACCTTGATCCTCCCAGTCTCAGCTTCCCATATTGCTAGGATTACAGGTGTAAATCATTGGTGCCTGGCCCTTTGACTCTTTTTTATATTTTCTCTCTTCTTTGTCTCTGCTTGCTAGGGCTTCTTATTTATTCAAATGTCCTCTTTATTGGTCACCGCAGTATTTTTATCATAGCTGTTTTAACATTATTGTTGGATCACTTTCATCTGGAATTACAGGCCACATTGGCATCTGCAGGTCTTTTTCAAGTTGAGATTCTCTTGGGTCTTAGTATAAAAGATGAGTTTCAATTGCACCACATGCACTTTGGGTATTATAAGCTCTGGGTCTTACTTAAATCTTCTGTTTTAGCAGAGACCTTTATACCTGGTGGGGGTGGGAGCCCAGGACCATCCGACATAGGATGGAGAAAGATGCCTGATAACTGCTGGGTGGGGATTCCACCTGGCCTCCCCTGACTCCGCAGCCAAGGGGAGTTGTGCCTCCGTTACCATTAGAAAGAATGGAGTCCAGGCTCCCCTAGGATTCTGCCCCAGCCTGGAGGAGAGAGGGAGAAATGCCTCATTATCAGCAGGCGGAGATGGAAACATAGGCTTCCCTGTTGGCTGTCTTTGACACTGCAGAGTGGGCCAGAGTTCAACTTTGCCTTAGCTTTCTGTGACGGTAAATGCTGTTTTCTTTTTCTGTAGCGCTGGGGTTTGAACTCAGGGCTTTGTACTTGCTAGGCAGGCACTCTGCCACTTGACCCACTCCACCAGCCCTGTTTTGTGTTGGGTATTTTTTTTTTTTTTTGAGATAAGGTCTCATGAACTATTTGCTGGGGGCTGGGTTCGAACCACGGTCCTCCTTATCTCTGCCTCCAGAGTAGCTGGGATTACAGGTGTGAGCCACTGGTGCCTGGCTTATGGTTATAACTTAAAACTTTTCCTTTTTTTTTGGGCAGTGCTGGATATAATTGAATGCAGGGCTTTGCACATGTCAGGCTGTAACACTGAGCTACATCACAGCCTTTCTTTGCATTTTCATTCATTTTTTTCTGATTCTGGATGATGAGGCCACTCAGTAGGGTCTTATTTACTTTGGCTATTTTGGCATTAGTAACATATAACTGTCCCTCTGTATTCCTTTTAAATTTGTAGCAAAATAGTGTTTCAGGTATCTCCACTCTTTGACCTGAATTATAAAAACTAAAATTTTTGCCACTAGAAAATATGTGGCTATGGATGGAAATGCTAACAATGAAACCACAATAAAAAGTGATGAAAAGAGTAACACAAAAACATTAAAATAATACTGTAATGCTGTGGTATTCTCATTATTGTGAGACAATTACTAGTAAAGTGTGAAGTGTTAGAAATTGTAATATCAGTATGTGGACCTTACTTCTCCCCACTCGTGAGAGGTGGTTATGGATATTATCTTCTTGGCCAGTCTGAAGTGTAGCACTTTGGTTACTTTTGTTAGGAGCTGCCCTGTTGTAGAAGGACGTAGGAGTGCATCTAGATGGGAAGTGCATTTCCAGGTACTGTACACCCTGCTCAAAAGTCAGCCTGCCCCTGCATCTGGCCTGTAACTAGTCAGCTTCCAACAGTTGTCTGCAAATTAGCACTTTGCACCAGGGCTCATTTTCCTATACTGATACTATTATTATTATTATATTATTATTATTATTATTATTGGGAGTACTGGGGTTTGAACTCAGTGCCTTTTGCTTGTTAGGCAGGTGCTCTACCACTTAAGTCATGCCTCCAGCCCATAGGGGAATAAATTACTTTTTTTTTTTTTTTTTGGCTTTTTTGTTTGCAGTACTGGGGTTTGAACTCGAAGCTTTGCATTTGTGAGGCAGACACTCTACTGCTTAGCCACACCTCCAGCCTATCTGATATTACTGATTTAGCAATAATTATATCAGAACAATCCTTTTCATTAGTTTGCTGTAAAAGAATTTTCCATACTGTATGTAGAAAGGTAAATAATGAAAACCTTTAACCTTAAGCTAGGTGTGATGGTGCACCACTCCTTGAGGTGGAGGCACTAGGACCAGCGGAGGCTACATAGTGAATTCCTGTCTCAGAAAACCAAAAAAACACACAAAACTTAAAAACCTCACCTTGCTCTCTTACTCCCATTCCCAAGATGTCACCAGTTTTGTTGTTGCTGCTGTTTGGCGGTACTGGGGTTTGAATTCACGGCTCTGTGCTTGCTAGGCGTTCCTCCACCACGGGAGCCACCTCCCTCCCAAGCAGTTTTCATAGTATGGTGTGTGCCCTTCTAAGGCATTTTCAATGCTTGTGTAATACTTATGCAAATGTAACAAATGACAGATTATTGTTAAGCAAGATTTTTTTTTGTAGCAAACAAATGAATTGATACTAAGTGACCAGAAAACCTTGTGCTACTGAACTTGTTTACCAAAGAGCATTTATGAAGGAAACTGTCTAAAGATATGCTCTCCAGACGCAGAAGCAACCAAGCAAAATAATGCTTGTGATGTGAGAAACACTGAGCATCTGTGTCCTATTTGTCATTCAAGGGCACAGCTGGAGACCGATTGGAAGATTGAGAAGGAGTGGAGGCAGACCTTGCAGGAAGATCTTCAAAAGGAGAAGGACGCCTTATCTCATCTTAGACTCGAGACCCAACAAATTCTGAGTCTTAAAAAAGTAAATAGTGGTAAAATGTTAAATATTGTACCTTCACAAGTGTTAACTTATTTAAAAAGAAAATTTACATAATTAATATTTATATAAGGAAATGGGATATGCCACTCATTTTAGGAAATATCAGTAGGGAGATTAAGTGAATGGAAAATAGTTGATACATAGAGTAGCTTAGAAAAGGGCTTCGAACACATGCTGTCTTTCTCTTTTTCTTTTTTTGTAGTACTGGGGTTTGAACTCAGGGCCTTCACCTTGAGCCACTTTACCAGCTTAAGGAAATATAGGCCTCAAAATGACCACGTGGAGAGGAGTGATCTGGCCAAGAGATTCTTTATTGCCGGGTGGGAGAGGGAGAGAGCAGAGAGCCAAGAGAGAGAGGGAGAGAGGGGCAGGGGCTTAAATACCCCTCAGTGAGATTCAGCATGATCTGATTGGTTAGGATCTTATGGTTCATGCTGGTTGGAGGTTGGGGCAGAAGGAGGATTCAAGCTAGACTTGAGGCAGGACCGTGACCCTGGGAGGCAGGACCATAACCCTGGAAAACAGAAGCTTAAGGGTACAGTAAGAACTGAAACCTATCGGCGCCATTATTGCCAACACCAGCCCTTTTTTGTGATGGGTTTTTCAAGATAGGGTCTCAAAAATTATTTGCCTAGGTTGGCTTTGAACCATGATCCTCCTGATCTCTGCTTCCCGAGTAGCTAGGATTACAGATTTGAACCACTGGTGACCAGCTTTTTTTTTTTTGGCAGTACTGGGGTTTGAACTCAGGGTCTCACACTTGGTAGGCAGGTACTCTACCACTTGAGCCACTCCATCAAACTTGGTTGTTTCTTGTAGAAAAGCAGGACATGGTGGTGTACACCTGTAATCCCAGCATTTGGGAGGCTGAGGCAGGAGGATCAAGAGTTGGAGCCCGGCTTGGGCTGTATAGCCAGATCCTGTCTCAAAGACCCAAAATAACAACTTAAGAATATTTTTCCCCTAATTAATGGTATATACAATTGTAGAGCTTCGTATTTCTTTCTCTTAAATTGCACTTTTCTTACTATTTTGAAGGAGTTCCTTAAACTCCAGGATGAAAACCAGCAGTTGAAAAAAATATACCAGGAACAAGAGCAAGCTCTTCAAGAACTTGGCAACAAACTGAGCGAGTAAGTTTCTCTGGTTTCTTTCAACTAAGTGGTCATGGACTCTTAGGAAAGTGTGAGTGTCCAAACCAATTAGACAGAAAGGCTTCAATACAAGAAAAATGTATGAACTATTTAAGAAAAACAAGTAAATTCTAAAGATTAAAAAATTAGACTAGTCATGGCACCAGTGGCTCATGCTTGTAATCCTAGCTACTCAGGAGGCAGAGATCATGAGGATCATGGTTCAAAGCTAGCCAGGGCAAATAGTTCGTGACACCTTGTCTTGAAAAAACTCTTCACAAAAAAGTGCTGGCAGAGTGACTCAAGTGGTAGAGCACCTGCTGTCTTTTAGACTGGGATGGAAGCAGCATCGTGAAAAGTAGAGGTGGTTTTTGCACCTTCTGGACTCGGCTTACAACGTGGTTCTAGTGTAGTAAAATGTCATTGGGATCCTGCAAAGACCAGAAAGGAGAAATTGTGTGCTGCCTTCTAGCACTTTCCTCCTCACTCCCTGTGGCTTGTGCTTTGGGTAGCAATCGCTTTATGTCCCGGTTTCTGTATTGCCAGGTATGTGGGCTAAGCTTGGTGGGAAGGTTTTGAGACAGGGTCTTGCTAGATAGTCCAGGTTGGCCTGGACTTCAGTCTTCCTCCATCAGCCTCCTCAGTTAGCTGGGATTTTGATTATAGGCATGGACCACCATACCCAGCATATCACCTTTTTTTTTTTTTGTTACTGGGGTTTGAACTCAGGACCTCACACTTGCCAGGCAGGTGCTCTACCATTTGAGCTGTGCCCCCAGCCCATGTCCTCTTTTTTAACATAGAAAAGTAAAACTAAGAAAGCTACAGTGGGCTATACTCCAGTTACCTATATAAATCTCTTTGATGTTGATAATTAAAAAATTCCAATGGCATGAAAATCTGCAAAGAACAGGTACCTCCCTCCTCCCAGATGTCATTTTCCAAAGTTAACTAACCTCAAACAAATCAATATGTAAGCATCTTGACATACATAATACATATGATTAGTTACAAACATACAGACATGTATTTGTAAACATTCAACTCAGTAGCAGTCATACCAGTATGGAGACTTATTGCTAAAGATGAGATTCCATTAAGGGGTATTGCACTTGGTTTCCAAGGAGTATAGTCATTTACTAAACTATGAAAGGAACACCAGCTGTCATAAAGGTAGTGCTGGCTTTGTCTGTAGCTTTTCAAAGAACAGTCTGCATTGTGGTTCTGTTAAGGAACATACCAACACCAACCTAGCATCTATTTATTGAGTACTTGGAGCCAGACCCTGTGTGAAGTGCTTGTGACTTTACTTCCCCCTTTGTCACTTGACAGATACTTAGTGAGCTTCCACTGTGTGCCAGGAATTGTGCCTGTAGAGATGAGACCATGAACATCCTCACAACAACCACCAGTATTTACCTTGCAAGCATAAAAGTTTAAGGCAGGTGGAGTAGCTCAAGTGGTAGAGCGCCTGCCTAGCAAGGATGAAGCCCTGAGTTCAAACTCCAGTACCGAAAAAATAAAGAAGGAAAAACAAAACCATAGTGGAATAGTAAAAGAAGAAATATGTGTTACTTTTACTCACCTACCACTCAGTACTAGAGCCTTTATAGTTGAATTAAAGGCACGGTTATTTGCGTATCTAGGGGCTGCCTTCAGACTGTTGTTATTTCCTTTAGCCTATTTCATCGCTTCTCAGATTTTAGTTGCAGGAAAATTACTGCACAAGGTTGGATAATCTCTCTCAATCTCTGAGCTTCCAGGCAGTGTAAGGAATTTTCAAGGCTATTTGGACTATTAAATGTTTTTCTTCTGTGCTGACAGCCACACCTAACAGCTGTGTAGCTCCGCAGTCTGCTTGTTCTCCCATGGATTGAGGTTGTTCTTAAAGAATGTGTGTTAGAGGGTTTTCCAGGAGTGCACACAGATACTCCGTAGGATGCGTGTGCTGCACACTGTGCATGTAGATGTTGATAGGTCTGGACACGTTCGATGGGTTTTTCTGAACAGTAAGTTCCTAAAGATGACGTGCTGGGCACAAAAGAATGTTTTGATAACATTTTGATAGTGTCAAATTGCCTTCCACATCCAGTCTGTAGTGAGAAAGAGGGTACCTGTTTTTACCATTCTAATGGTTAAAAATCATACTTGATTTGTATTTCTTTTAACCACAGGCCAGGTTGAGCACCTATATTTATTTGTGTTCCATTTCTATTTGTAGTAAACTGCTGTTCAGATGTTGTACACATTTTTTTTATTTGTCTGAGGCTGGACTCAACCTTGGAATTCTCCCCCCTCAGCCTCCCAAGTGCCATTTGCCCAGCTTTGTGGATCATTATTTTATCGACTTGCTCATTTTTAATGAGATCATTGGAAATTGTACATGGTGCACATCTTTTTATCCTTGTTTACCACTTATCCTCTTACTTTATGATATGCATATTATTTCCTTGCTAGTGTTTTTTGGTGGTGGTGGCACTGGGATTTGAACCTAGAGCTTCACACTTGGTAGGCAGCCACTCTATCTCTTGAGCCATTGCATTCCACCAGCCCTTTATTTTATTTATTTTTTTTTGTCTGCTGGATATTTTTGGCTTGGGCTGGCCTTGAACCAAGATCTTCCTGAGCTCTGTTTCTTGAGTAGCTAGGATTATAGGAGTGAGCCACCAGCACCAGGCTAATATTTGAATTTTTTTTTTTTTTTGACGGGACTGGGGTTTGAACTCAGGGCTTCTTGCTTCCAAACAGGCACTCTACTGTTTGAGCCACACCTCTTGTCCATTTTGCTCTGTTTTTTGGGAGATGGGATCTCTCAAACTGTTTGCCTGAGCTGGCCTTGAACCATGATCCTCGTGATCTCAGCCTCCCAATTAGCTAGGATTACAGGCGAGAGCCACCAGTGCCCAGCTTGAATTTCTATACTGTAATCATTTTTCAGAATTTTCCTTTATTGCTCTGAGTCAGTAGTTCATAAAATATGGGTAGGTAGCACCGGTTTGGGTCAGAATATATTTGTGCAGTTTTTTCTTCCTCAGTACTGGGGTTTGAACTCAGGGTCTCATGCTTGCTAGGCAAGTGCTCTGCTACTTGAGCCATACCTGCAATCCAGGGTCAAACATATTTTATCCTTTCCTAACTCTATTGCTCTTTGTAGTGACCTTTTTTTTTTTCCTGTAGTGTGGTACTTGGGATTGAACTCAAAGCCTTGACCACTTGAGCCATGCTGTCAGACCTTTTGCTTTTGGTTTGTTTCTCAGATAGGGGCTTGTGCTTTGTGCCTTGGCCAGCCTCATCCCAATCCTTCTACCTCCGTTTCCTGAATAGCTAGGACCACAGGTGTGCATCACCACACTCAGCTTGTTTTTGAGATAGGGTATCACTAACTTTTTGTTCAGACTGGTGTCAAACCATGATTCTTCTGTCTCCACTTCCTCAGTAGCTGGAATTACAGTTGTGCACCACCACACATGACTTGCAAGGCTAAAATTTAAAGCCAGAGACAGGATCAATGGCTCCTATCATTTTTTCCCACATTTACCAACTTATTTGCTGAAACACTTTTACTTCTTTCTCTTAGTCCTGTATGTTATCAGACTGAAATAAGTAAAAACAATAAATTCCCTCCACCACACAGGATACTAAATATTTCTTTCAAAAACTTGGTGTTGGAGCTGAGCACCAGTGGCTTATTCCTGTAATCTTACCTACTTGGGAGGCTGATATCAGGAGGATCATGGTTTGTGGCCAGCCCGGACAAAGTTCGAGAGACCACATCTCCAAAAGAAGATGAACAAAATGGACTGGAAGTGTGCCCCAAGCATTAGAGCATCTGCTTTGCAGGCATGAAGTTTTGAGTTCAAATCCAATTCCTCCAAAAACAAAAACAAAGACCAAAAAATCCTGGTGTTGGATGGGGGTGCAGTGGCTCACACCAGTAGTCCTTGCTACTCAGGAGCTAGAGATCAGGAGGATCGCAGTTTAAACTTTTGCTTGGGCAAAAAGTTCATGACACCCCATCGCAATCAGTAAGCTGGGCTCCATGTCAGGTGCCTGTCATCCCAGGTTATGAGTGGGGTAAAGAGGAGGAGGGAGGATCAAGGTCCAGAGATAAAGGGAAGCCCCTACTTGAAAAATTCTTAAAGCAAGATGGGCTGGAGGAGTGGTTCAAGTGATGAGTACCTGCACAGCAAGCACAAAGACCTGAGTTCAAGCCTCAATCCCATTAAAACAGAAAACCAGGAAATTTGTGGTGGTGCGGGACTCAGGTTAGAGCAGTGCTCTCTGTCTTTGTCTGGTGCTGGGGATTGAGTGCTGTGCACTTGGTCGCTGAGCTAGGCCCCAGTCGGTGTCAGTGCTTTTTAACCTTTGCTCTTTGTTTGCCAGAGCTGGCTTTAGGCTTTGTCAACCATTTAGGTCATATTTTAAGTGGTATTGGGAGTGTCATAGCATATGGAAAGGTTTGAGTCTTTTAATTTTGTTAAAAAGAAAAATTAAAGTTCAGAGTTGGGTTTTTTTGTTGTTTTGGTGGTACCGGGGCTTGAACTAAGGGCCTCATGCTTGCTACTCAGGTGCTTTACCACTTAAGCCATGCCTCCTAGGCTTTTTTTGGTTTAAGTAATTTTTATGGTTGGGTCTTGAGCCCCCTTAGCCCCATCTGGCCTGGACCTTGGTCCTCCTATTTGTACTTTTCATGTAGTTGGGATGAAGGTGTGTACCATCATGCCCAACTTAATGGTTGAGATGGGATCCCAATAACTTTTTGCCCATGGCTGGTCTTGAACCATGATCTTTCCAGTCTCTGCCTCCCAAGTAGCTGGGATTACAGGGGCAAGCCAGTGCTCTTGGCTTAGGTTTTATTTTGACCTCCTCTGTGCTGTTTTCATAACAAAGTCAGGATATGTTCTCACACTTGCAATACATGTTCCTAAGTAAAAGCTGATTAAAATTAACAATATAGATAACTTTCTTCCCTTTTTAGAACAAAGAGAAGATATTCTTTTATAATATGATTATTGAAACTGTAACTGATGCCCCTTTTCTTGAGGACCTTTTGGCAATGTGTTGTAGGGAGTAGTCATTTTATGAATGAAAGTATCTAATTGAAAATATGTTACTAAGCCAGGCCCCAGAGGCTCAAGCCTGTCATCCTAGCTACTCAGGAGGCAGCGATCAGGAGGCTCAAAGCCACCCAGGGCAAATAGTTCAAGAGATCCTGTCTCAAAAATACCCAACACAAAAAAAGGGCTGGTGGAGTGACTTAAACGGTAGAGTGCCTGCCTAGCAAGTGAGATGCCCTGAGGTTTTTGCCCCCAGTACTGCAAAAAGAAGAAAAAAAGAAAACAAAATATTAATAGCAGTACATTTTCCTAAAGATAATATTTTCTGTGGCAAATGGCAGTAAGCTACTTTAATTCCATACTGGGGTTTCCTATTAACAACACAGTGAAACCGTTGCCCTGGGCCGTCATTCCCATCAGGGTCAGTTTGTCCCGAGGCACATGTGAGAAGGAAGCTTGGTTCTTCAGACAGTGCTGTTTTCACAGTGCAGGCTTTGTCCTGGTTATGTCCTGCCTAAGAGTTAGTGTGAGCAGTGCAGATCCTAGCAGGGTTTTGTGCCTCTGGGGCAGGACCATGTGCAGGGCAAAGGAGGTGCCTCTTGCTCTGCCTCAGGAGCAGAGACTTTGGTGTTTTTTGAGACATTAATATTCTATGTACCTTTGTGCAGTAATTTAACTTCTAAGTAGAGATACACAGATGTTTTGGTCAGTTTCGTTTTTTTGTCCTGCCCCGTGAGGATTAATTCTAGACATGCACTCTGCCACTGAGCTACACCCACAGCCCAGTCGTTTCAGTTTTAGACTTTTTTTTTTTTTTTTTTTTTGAGATGGGGTCTTATTCTATTGCTCAGGCTGACGTTTGAACTCCTGAGCTCAAGGGATCTATCTTCTTGCCTCAGTCTTCCAAGTAGCTAGAACTACAGTCATGTGCCACTGTGCCCATCCATTTCCATTTTTTTCTTTTTGTCTGTTTTTTTGAGTCAGGGTGGCAGGATGCCCAAGCTGGTCTGGGACTCCTGATCTTCCTACCTCAGTCTCCTGAGGGCTGGGATTACAGGTGTGAGCCATCACAGCCAGTCTTCCATTCAGTTTTTATTTATTTTTGAGATATGTCTCACTAGGCTGGCTAGAAATCACTGTTTAGCCTAGGCTCATCTTAAACTTGAGATTCTTGTGCCTCGGCCTCCCAAGTGCTGGGATTATAAGTGTTTACTACCATGCCTGGCTTCCCTTTTCATTTTAATGAACAACTTTTGTGGTGAGAAATTTGAAACAAGTTTAAAGTTCAACAGTAGATAATTATTCAAGGTATTTCATATTTTTTCATAGTATATACTATGTAACTATTTAATATGATGTAGCAGGTACTTGGTGACAGCTTTAGCATTCAGATGCTGTCCAGGATATATTGCTATGTAAAATGAGCAGGTTTTAGAAAAGTATGTAGATAATATTCCATTTAAAATACTTACTCACACACACTCACTTATATACACTTACACACACACTCTCACATAGACATGTAGATATTATCTCTGGGTAGTGGGGTCCAGGTAACTAAAAATTGCTTTTAATAATCTGCATTTTCATTAACACATATTTCAAAAGGTAGAAGAGTATCACTAGTGTGTCTTCTATGGTATTTTACTCCTTAACACTTCTGTGTCTGCTGAAGTGCATACACTAGTTAGGATGTGCGCTTTGGTACCACACAGACTAAGGTTTGCACCCTGGCTTCCCCAGGTACCATCTCTGTGACCTCTTACAAGTCACTGTACCCCATGAGGCCTTTCTTCATCTTTAAAGTCGATTTTTGTGAAGATGAAATGAGATTATACATGCAAAGAATATATAGCACAGCATTCGGCACACAGTAAACTGAAATGATAGCGATTGAGATTGTTATCATCACTGGGAAGTGTTAATATTTCTTAAGTCAATTTGTAAATCTGAAAAATTCATTTTTGCTTTAGGACATTTAGAAAATATAAAGAAAATATGAAACACTGCATTAGCCAGAAAGAATCATTATGATCTAAAATTATATGTAATTTTATTTCCTATGCAAAATCAATACTTTTGTAATAAATTACTAGGTGCTCCATATTTAAATATTTGTAGTAAAATACGGACCTGTTTGTAATCTTTTTAGGTCCAAACTTAAAATAGAAGATATAAAAGAAGCCAACAAGGCACTGCAGGTGAGTTGTGTTCTCCTGGAGAAGGCCACTAAATACAGGGGGGGGGTCTCCAAAGGCCCTGCGGAAACCCAAAGCATTTTAGGACTTGGGTTAGTGCTCAGTGGGTAGATAAGGCCCTAGCACTGAAGGGGTAAAAATATCCAAGGTGTTTTTAATGAGTCCCAGGCTAGATAGAGACAGAAGCGCTGAGCAGGGAGCAGGGACAGAGTGCCCCTCTCCCTCTAGTATCCATTAATAACCTTCCTGATAGACATTGATCTTAGAAGTAATTGTCATTCCTTGTAAACTGTGGCATGCTAGAGTGGCATGCCCCGTTCGCTTAAGAATCCCAAGTGTCTTTGCAGTTCGTGAGTGAATGCTTATAATTTAGTAGTTTTTAACTTTTAGCACTTTCCCCTTCTGAAATGGGCTTATGATTCTGCATACAGTTACTTTGAATATGGAGTATGTTAATACATGTCAAAGTGGTTAGTACCATTTTATCAGTATATGGATGGAAAGATGTCTGAATGAAAAAACCTTCTACAACATGGGAGAAAATAGTGCCTGTTAAGCACTTCAGTGACGGTTGGCTTCCTTGCCCCTGGAGTACCTATTTAATTTTTATCAAAACATTATATGAAAGTAGTTTTTAAAATAATAGTTCTGGAGCCTGGTGTGGTGGTGCATACCTGTAATCCCTGCTCTTAGGATGCTGAGGCAGAATGATTGTAATTTTGAGGCCAGCCCAGGGTACACAGTAAGATGCTTTTTCAAAAACAGCTGCCTGGGACTGAAGCTCAAAAGGAGAGTGCTTATTTAGCAAGCATGAAGTGCTGGGCTCGTCCCCAGTGCTGCTAAACAAAAAACAAAGAACAAAAGAATAGTGCTAAAAAGACTTAAAACACAGCAAGAAACAATGTTTTTGTTTTTTTTCCTTCCTTGTCCCTTACCCAACTCTAGCTCCTGCTACCCAAAGGGAGCTACTTTAAATTCTAGCTCCCCTAGCATTCTATATTTCTGCATAATGTGCAGGTCATACTGTTTGGTGTTTTTCGTTGTTTTTTTGGTGTGTTTGGAATTTGAATCCAGAGCTTTGTGCTTGAGAAGCAGTCAGTTCTGCTCGAGGCACACCTCCAGTCCATTTTTCTCAGGTTATTTTGGAGATGGGGGCCTGAGAACTGTCTGGGCTGACGTAGAACCTGATTCTGCTAGGATCACTGGTGCCTGGCTCATATTGTTTGCGTTTTTGTTCTTCCCTTGGTACTGGGGCTTGAACTCAGGGTTTCATGCTTGCTAGGCAGGCACTCTACCACTTGAGCCACTCCACCGGCTATACTGTTTGCTCATCAATTTTAGACCTAGTTTTTGACTTAATGTTGTGGATGCTCTCTCTTACGTTGCCCTTTCTTCACTGTCCTCTTCATGTAAAGTTTTTGTTTTTTGTGGAATGACTATTAATATTGTTCCTTGGCAGGCCAGGTACTGTGATATTTTCTCATTAGAATTACTTTTTATTTTCTCTGGAGTTAGTAATGACCTTTTGTTTGAGTATCAGAGCATTCTCATGCCTTTTAATGCCTGTATAAAATGCTTCTTGAAGTTTTTCACCTGGTAAAATGTATCAGGTAATTAGTTCATTGTTTTTTCCTTAGAGTCATCTCTCTAGATGTCTCTACTCTCCCGCTCATTTCTGGCCTGGTTCCCCGTCCTGACATTTCCCTTTGCTGTTATTCTTGGGAGTTCCCATTACCCTTCTTTTTTTTCTTTTTGAGTTACTGGATTTTGAACTCAGTGTCTTATGCTTGCTAGGCAGGGATGGGTTTTTTTGAAATAGGGTCACATGAACTATTTGCTGGCTTCAAACTGCAATCGTCCTGATCTCTGCCTCCTGGGTAGCTAGGATTACAGGCGTCCAGCTCCTTTACCCTTTTGTGGGAGCTCCTATTGGCTGAACCGTGTAACTTCTTCCTTGGGTTTCTCCCTTACTGGTAAGTGAACTTGTCCTGGCTCAGCTGTAACAGGACACAGAGCAATTTCCCTCCCAGTTTAGGAGGGCAGTCCTGAGAATAGGGCTAACTCTTAAAGGCACAAGAGGACAGTTTAAAAGAAAAAAAAAACAATGGTGAGTGAAGGTAGATTCTGAGAACTTGTGTATCTGAATGTGACTTCTGTTCTTGTGCCTCTTTTTAGGCGATAGACCAAACCATCATTTAAACTATCCAACTTTCATTCTGTGTACGTTGTGTGTACAGAATAGTGCACGTACAGTACAACTTGGGTGCCCCATACTTACCTGCACCTTAGAAGCCCCAGCATGCTTCCTGATTGCAGTCTCCTTCCTGTAGTAACTTTCCTCTATTTTGTGTTAATCGTATTGTTTCTTCTCTGTATAGTTTTTTCATCTTTCAACAAAACACCTAGTTTTGCAACTGTGGACCAGTTGAAGTGTGAGACAGCTTCTCTATTTTCCTCATTATGGTTTTATCTGATGGAGTGTTCTTTAACTCGCTGCTCCTCTTTAATGACTGTGAGCCGGAAGTTAAATCTAGGGCCTTCATTAGGTTCTGGTGCAGCCTTCTGTTGTGGCTTTTTATTTTTGCTACATTTTAAAATATTCAATAGAATATTGTTTGCTCATTTTCCCTTTAAAATATAGTATCCTGTTCTATTTTGCCTTTAGGATAATTACTTTTAAACTTTTGTTTTACTACCACCATTCTGTTTAGATTTCCATTCTGGGGTTTATTTCCTTGACTTAAGTATTTCATGCCCAAGGCTTTCCTCAAATACGATATCCCAGCTAGGCATGATGGTGCATGCTAGTAAGTGCAGTTCTTGGGAGGCTGAGCAGGAGGCTCATGAGTTCAAGGCCAGCCTGGGCAATATAGTAAGACCATGTTTCAACAAACAAAAAAAATAAAGTGATATCCCCCAATTTCAATAAAAGGGACATACACACATACACACACACGCTTATTGGAAGCCTGGTGTTAGTTACAGTGGTAGGTTTTCACCACAGAGAAATTTCTAACTGGAGATTAGGTAGGTACCCTTTCTAATTAAGTGTCTGTGGGAGTTTTCTCTGGGGCACTTGAGTCTCTCTAGTGGGGGCTCCTCTGATGTCCTTTCTGGGGTGGGGGGGCCATAGTATAGTGGCTAATATTCTGGAACTGAACAGTCGTTTATTTGCAGAGCAGTAGTTTGCTGTCCTACTCTCTTGTTTGTTTCCTTAAGCAAGCAGCTTTGGCTCTCTGGATCTTAGATTTCCTCATCTGTAAAATGATAGGTGAAGGCCCAGCCAATGTCAGAAAGTTATTTCTGAACTTAATGACACTGTTTGTAAATCTGCCCTTCTTCAGAGGGCCTCACATCAGGCCCTCCTTCCCTTGTAGGTATAGCTAGGCAGAAAGCAAAGCTGCTTCCACTAGGTGGCTTTGGGACATTTACCTATTTACTTTCATTTATATGGTACCTTATCACTTGGATTGGACTGATCTTTTGGTGTGTGACGAGGGTGGATCCCAATTAGTGCCCTCGAACTGTCAGTCTCCTTGCTTCAGCCTTCTGAGTGCTGGGGTTACAGGTATGTACCACTACACATGGCTCTGGATACTTTTAAGGTCCCATCCTGCTTAAAAAGAAACTCCAGACTGGCAAGTGTTTCAAGTGGTAGATTACCTGTCTAGCAAGCTTAAGGCTTTGAGTTCAAACCCCAGCTGGTGGAGTGGCTCAAGTGGTAGAGGACCTGCCTAGCAAGTGTGAGGCCCTGAGCCCAAGCCCCAGTACTGCCACAAAAAAAAAAAAAAATTTTCATGATTCAAGTCATCTGAGCCATTGCTAGTGCTTGACTGTAGAAAGATCTTACAATCAATCCTGTTTCTAAGAAACCTAGACTTCCTGGAGTAACCAGACAGTCTTTACTCACAGACGCTAGTTATTAAGTCTGTCTTTGGAGGCTGGAGTATGGATCGGTGGTAGTTTATGTGCTTACCATACATAAGGCATTCAGTTTGACCCCTAACCATGACCAAAAAAATCGTCTAACGGTTGCCTTCATGGAAGAAAATGGTTTTTCTAGTCCAGATTAAGAGTGATTGGTTAGCCATATTTAAGAATGAGTCAATTTTTAATTTTGAGGTATCAAGTTACTACCCGTTTGAGTATTTTCATCCATTTTCTACTAGTTTACAGAGTGGCTATTAAAATTTGGTAAGTTAGCCATATAAAACTGACTTTAAAGTGAGTTCTTACTCAAATATTGAACTCATGTCTCATTTTCCAATCTCCTCCACATTTTAGGGACTGCAAAGTATAGCTAATGCCAAATTCTTGCATTTCACGTGGTAATGCAAGAAATTTACCCTTGAACGTTGCTGTTAAGCTTCTTCTAAAAGACTTCTCATCAGCAATACTTTTATTTTTTAAAACATTTTAACATGGGTATGTTAAATATACACAGTTGTACAGAGAAGGGCAAAATGAATTATCATCCAGTCCAAGTATGTATGGGCAATTTTTGCGGGGAGGTGGTGAAGCAGCACTGGGGTTTGAACTCAGGAATTCGCAATGCCTAGGCAGGCAGTCCACATGTGCCACACCTCCGGCCCACTATCTTGTTTCTTATGCTCATCTGCACCCCTCATCTCCTCAGCTCACAATATTTTTAGGAAGACTCCACATATATTCATTCTAAATCTTTCAGTATGTCTATTTCTGATTTTTCATCTACCCCTGTAAAATGTTTTGGGGCAAAAGTTTTCACTTGTAGTGTTACTAATATGAATATTAGTATTTGTCCTTTTCTTCCTATTAGGGACTGGTTTGGCTGAAAGACAAAGAAGCAACACATTGTAAGCTTTGTGAAAAGGAATTCTCACTCTCTAAGAGAAAGGTAAGGGAGGTAGAGAGTCCAAAAATTTTGGTATAAAGATGGTTTCTAATTTTATTTTTTTTCTGATTCTTCCATTTAATAGCACCACTGTAGAAACTGTGGGGAAATCTTCTGTAATGCCTGCTCTGACAACGAACTGCCTTTGCCTTCTTCACCAAAGCCAGTCCGAGTCTGTGACTCCTGTCACGCACTGCTCATTCAGAGATGCTCATCTAACTTGCCCTAGGACTCCACAACCAAATCCTTCCCTATCAAAGTACTTGCAATGAATGCTGTCTGTGACCATGCATACAAGGTATTCAGTGTTCAGTCAGTATTGTATGTTTATCTTCTATATATTCAGTTCATGGGAATTATATGTTTGATCAGACATTTACTTTCCAGTGTTACTCAGAATCTTCAACAGAGCATGGAACCCTTACCTTAACTCCACTGAAAGGCCAGATAGCATACATAGCTAACACACATTTGCCTTATTTTATAAAGGCCTTCTTAAAAATAAGGCTTCAGATTTTCTGAATTCTGTCAAGTTGGCATTTGATGGTGCCTCTCATTTTCTTAGTGCACTTTAAAGCTTCACAGTTCTCAGAGAAAGACTGAAAATGCATCATAAATTCCTCAGAATTTTTATTCCAATACAACATTGAAGGTCTCACAAAGGTGTCTAGGTTGGCCTTGAACTCATGATCCTTCTGCCCAAGCTTTGTGAGTGCCGGGATAGCAGGCATGTGCCACTATGCCTAGCCTGTACATTTCTCATTCTGTTAAGATTGCAACTTAATTGTATTTTATTTGCTTTTTTCTCCCTTTCCCCTTTTTTGCAATAGAAAAGGCCAATTATTTTATCCTATATAATTTCATTGGCTATAAAGGTCTTTCCTAAAAATCAACCATTGTTTTGTTTGCAGATACTTTTCAGAGTGGGTTAAATGTACACTGATTTGGGGGTCAACCTTTTCCTTCTAATCTTGAAAGGAAGTTACACGCAACAGTCTTCCTTCCTAGACACTAATTTTTTTAAGGGAGTGGGGTCAGACACCAATTCAAAAACAAAAACTCAAGTCCCAGACTGGGGGCATGACTCTAGTAGTAAAGCACCTGCTTAGCAAGTGCAAGACCCTGAGTTCAAACTCCAGTACCACCAAAAAAATAAGACTAGAAATCCCTCCCCAGGGTAGGAAAGTGTTTTTCTACACAAGCTGCAGGGAATTATAGGCTTATACAGATTCTCTCCTTTAAGCGTCATAGTAAGGGGGATAAAAACTTTGCCTTTGATGGTGTAGAATAATTGAATAGTTAAAAAAGTTTCTATTCTACTACCACTGGATTAACTTCTAAGAAACACTGTAGTGATAATGTATATCCACAGTAAAATTTTACCATGTCTGGGCTGGAGTGGCTCAAGTGGTAAAGCACCTGCCTAGCAAGCATGAGGCCCTGCCTTCGAACCCCAGCACTGCAAAAAAAAACAAATGCCCAGTACCTCTGTGCCTGCAGGGGTCTTCGGTAGGTGAAGATTGGTGGCTTCTGAACTATTTCAAGCAGAAAAATTTAATGAACACTAATCTAGTTATATTGGTTGTAGCGTACCAAGAATTTAATTATTGTTACCTCTGTATAATCATTTCATCATGATTCAGAATCCTATTTTTTTTATTAATCTAATTTTCAGCTGTGCACTTAAGTTTGTGAGCCTTTCAAAAACACCATATATAAATTTCACACTCCTAGAAGGCACATTGCCCCTCCCTCCCCCTAACATATTTATTCTACAGCATTTTTTCCTCATTAATATTTAGCTTTCTAAATTGCCAAAGCATGAAAAAAAAAAAAACTGTATTTTACTTGAAGACACATTTTTCTAGAACCTGTAATTTTCAGTCAGCTTCGGAGCTCAACTTCAGTAAGAGCTGACATAGATTTTTAGATGCCCTTCCTTAAATGACAGAAATACTGAGAATGAATTATATTCTTGAACCATTTTGCATTGATGGGATAGATCAACATTTTTATGATTGTTGCAAATAAGTATAAATGAAAACTTTCAAATAGGTAATTCTTTTTATTATGTGGTTTAAACAAATTTGGAAAGGTTACTTAAGTTGTGTAAATTCCAAGGCTCATTTCATTAAACCATGATGTTTAGTCATTCATTTAAATTTCTCACCATTCAAAACTTATGCCGGGTGCCGGTGCCATGCCTGTAATCCTAGCTACTTGGAAGGCTGATAAAATAAGGAGGATCGAGGTTTGAGACAATTGCCAAAAACAAAACAAAACAACAACAAAAAAACCCCAAAGCAAAATGGACTAGAGGTATGGCTTAAGTGCTAGAGTACCCAGTTTGCAAGGGCAAAGCCCCGAGTTCAAACTACCCCAATCCCACCAACTTCCTCCCTCCACCCAAACTTCTATCATCACCATCAATTTGGGTTTTTGGGGAGGCAGCTTTTATGACAGCAGTGTAACTTGCTCTGCTTAGTTTGGGCTTACTTTTGGGGGTTGGGGATGTAGTTGAATGATACAGTGCTTGCCTTGCATGCATAAGGCCCTGGGTTTGAACCCCCAGCACCACAAAACAAAAAAAGCCTTCATATTTTGTAGTGTGATCCTACATACACCACTTTCACTTTTCAAAACTAGACTATGTCATTCCCTGACCTAGCCAGCACTACAATGATCATGGTGCCAAGGAACTGCTATTGTAATTCTACTAACCAACCTGTAATATTTTAAAATAAAAATATGAATTTTATAAAATAAAGATGTGAAAGATTAGTCTGCTTTAGAAGGGCAACGTTCATTTCTAACATTTTGTACTTTCACTTATTGAAGATTTTCAGAGGGCATCCTGGGACAAGTACTTTTGACATTTGTGCTGGGGATGTAGGCTCAGTAGAGCACTTGCCTACCTACCATGCACAGCTCAGTAGAGCACTTGCCTACCTACCATGCACAGAGATGCTAGGTTCAATTCCCAGTCCTCAAAATTATCACAGGGCCAACAGGTTCCAAATTTATTAGCTATAACATTCCCTTTTCTTTCTAACAACAGAAATCACTTCTTTGTAGTCACCTAAATTCAATCTCCAATTTAAACATTATATGGTACTTTCTACCAGTTTGATTTATGTAATCAATAATCAACAGAAAGCATTCTAGCACAGACAAGATACTATTATCTCCCACACTGACATTTATTACAACATGAATAACATTTCTAGCCAAAACAAGTAACAAGTTCAGAACTGAATTCACATTGACAGGTTTCATTTGATCCATCAGCCAATTTGGAAACAAAAAGCCATACTGACCAAAGTGATAAATTTAAAAAGCACCTTTTCCTTGCTACATAAAACATTTTAACTAAAACTGTAAGCTGAGATCATACAAAAATCCAGCTGCAGGATTCTTGGTTTAATTGAACATGACACAGATTTGCTTTAAATTTTAAAAAATGTAGTTGTTTATACAGTTATTTAAAAACCATGTGCTCTTTTGGGTATGAAACTGAAGATACATCTGTGAGAACTGCATTCTCCACAGTAAACACTTATGTACTTGCCTGAGTTCTCATGTCATCATCGAGAACTTTAAGCTAGTCTAGGACATCTTGAGATAAAGTACAACTCTCATTTTTTGGAAAACATTTTTGGTATTTGATCAAGTCCTAAGGGAATTCAATCAGGAGCTAGAATTTAAACTTTCAACACCCCCATCCCCAGATAACACGATTATGAATATTCAGAAATTGAGATACCTCTTAGATCATTTCAGAGCTATGCCTGATAAATTATATTTGAAAAAGAATATAGAATTAGATGAATTTATATTCCTGAAACCACAAAAATTCATCTTCAGGCATTATATTTACATTGTTGTTCAGGAGAAATTAAACAAGAGTTGCACTAATTATTCAAGCTTTCTTCCAGATGCCTGCTTATTGACTTGCAGTTTATGCATAAGCAGGCCGTTATCCTTTAACATTACACCGCTCAACTTTTTGTAGCGTTAACAGTAAAATACATCAACCCAAATCTTATGAAGGCAGTACATCTTCTGCAGTAACTATATATAAAAAGTATCAACAACAGTGGTTTGAATATAAAAATTTATTTTTAAGTCAAAGTATGCAACAAATAAAACCTACAGAAAACAGATTTTCCCATCACAATCTGTTGCTTTACCAAATAATAGTTTGAAAACACATTCCTTCAGTCATTATAAAGTTCTTAAAATACAAAAGAAATTAAATCTGTAAGAAAGTCTAGTAGACCAGATGCTGTTGTTAGGACTTGTGTGTTGGTGGTTTTGCTTTTAGTACATCCCGCGCCATCCGCCTCCACTCATGCCACCTTGCCCATAGTAACCTCCACTGCCTCCACCACCGCGGCCTTAAGAAAAGGATATTAAGGATCATTGAGCAGGATATATCCATGCACAATACAGCATCTACACTTTTAATTATGAGGACTAACAAACCACTAGACACACTTACCATAACCACCCAAGCCATCAGGAGTACCATATCCTCCACTGTAATTGTTCCCCATCCCCATTCTTCCAACAGATCCATATCCTCCCTGATTATCTTTACAAAAAAGAAATAAAAAGAGAAAAACGTTTGAAATTGCTTGCCATGTAGCTAATAAACACTGCATTTTAAAAAAATTTTTATTTTATTCATATGTGCATACAATGTTTGGGTCATTTCTCCCCCCTTCCCACGCCCCCTCCCTCTCCCCTACCTTGCTACCCAGCAGAAACTATTTTGCCCTTATCTCTAATTTTGTTGCAGAGAGAGTATAAGCAGTAATAGGAAGGAACAAGGGTTTTTGCTAGTTGAGATAAGGATAGCTAAGCCAGGCACTGTGGCTCACGCCTATAATCCTAGCTACTCAAGAGATAAGGATAGCTATACAGGGAGTTGACTCACATTGATTTCCTGTGCATGTGTGTTACCTTCTAGGTTAATTCTTCTTGATCTAACCTTTTCTCTAGGTTCCTGATCCCCTTCTCCTATTGGCCTCAGTTGCTTTAAAGTATCTGCTTTAGTTTCTCTGCGTTGAGGGCAACAAATGCTATCTCGTTTTTGAGGTGTCTTACCTATCCTCACCCCTCCCTTGTGTGCTCTCGCTTTATCATGTGATCAAAGTCCAATCCCCTTGTTGTGTTTGCCCTTGATCTAATGTCCACATATGAGGGAGAACATATGATTCTTGGTCTTTTGGGCCAGGCTAACCTCACTCAGAATGATGTTCTCCAATTCCATCCATTTACCAGCAAATGATAACATTTCATTCTTTTTCATGGCTGCATAAAATTCCATTGAAACACTGCATATTTTAAAAACTTTACCTACCCATTCCATCTCTGCCATAGCCTCCCATTCCAGATCCTCCCATTCCAGAACCACCTCCAGGAGTAGAATTCAAGAAGAGTTCAATGTATCGATGTTCTTTAAGAAAAAAGGTGAGTCATAGTGAAGAAAGAGACATTAGATCAAATTTATCAATAAAAGCTTTGAAAGGTCAATTAGTATTAAACTGAAAGCAGGCCTATCGATTCCTAGAGAGAGGAAGTACGTAAACTTTTAAGAAATCAAATGGGTTTTAGGTCTCAATGATCGTGCCTACAGTTACCTACAGATCCTAGGACCTCTTACATTTACTTAAACCAATTAAAAATTCATTTTTATTGTGAAACTGACATCTAGGAATCAAGACAGTAAGCCAAAGACACCACTTACGCATGTTATTTTTATCCTTAGACATGGCAGCTACTGCATCTTCATGTGTCACAAACTCTACATCTGCTTCTCCTGTTGCTCTGCCATCAGCTCCAATATCAATATGAACCCGTATTGGATTTAGTGGTGAGAAAAACTAAATAAAAATTAAACACTTTTTACTTTATCCAAATTATTGAAAGTTAGTACATACCTTGATTTTTTTCCCCCTCACCCACTGAAACAAACCCTTCCACTGCCCCATGTTACTGAGCAACATCTCAATTAATGAGAGGTCCTAGGAATATGAACATAAGACTACGCACTTATGAAAAATGAAAATTACTGCCTTTAAAATAAGGTAGGTGATATGAAGTTTAAAAGGAAAAAATGTATACATAATAAACAAGCCTGTCATGGGGGGAGGATGAGACAGGAGGATAGAGTTCAAGGCCAGTCTTGGTTACAAAAAAAGATGGGGAGGGGGGAAGAATGCTTCAGAACTGATATAAAACCACTTATAATTACTCACGTTTGCAATATCATTTTCAGTTGCACGAAAAGGCAACCCTCTCATATGTACAAAATGACCACCATGAAAACCTGAACTCGCATCACCAGCTCCACCATAGCCATGTCCTCCCATACCTAGAAAATAAAATTTGCTAAATTCTAAATCATAAAAGTATACATATATACAAAGTATAAAGCCCAATAAAGATGTGCACTGAAATATGTCTGAGTGCACTGTTATGTAAGCCACCTAAGAGTACCACTGAAAACTTACAAGGAAAATACTAAAATTTACTTTAGAATAAAAAAATTTTTTTACCTCTTCCATCTCTCATTCTGTCATCAAAGCCATCATTTCCATAGCCATAATTATTATAGCCACCATAGTCATCAAAACCTCCATAGCCTGTGTAATTCAAGGAGAAATACATGAATACCATCCTAAGAGATTTTATAATCCAGTTTACAAAAACACATTTTGTGGTAAAGGTTTAACGTCATTATTTCACACTTGCAATCCCCCAACTTAGTACAAAGGAAAAAAAGCAGTTAACATTTGATAAAAATTTAAACCCTTAAAAGTATAAATTCAGACATGACATATAAATTGAATTCCACCTTTATGCTAAAAAGAAAACATGCCAATTATGTACATTTTTATTTCTGTGGAAGTTTTCTGGGTGTCAATATGTGCATCAATCAAATCCCGCAGCTCGCCATGGGACTCTGTATGTTCATGAACAGGTTTTAAAACCAAGTAGGTACTGAGATGACTGCCATTTCTGTATTTCTTGACAAAGCGTCAGGAACATTAAGAAAATGACAACAGAACCTTTGTTCATTAGATACACATACCACCATCATATCCATCACCTCCTCGTCGCATTCTGTCATACATACTTCCACGCCCAGCTCCATAATAACCCCCTCTTCCTCCTATCGGTCTATCATATGGTCCTGGTCGCTGTCCCAGCAATCTTCTTGGTGGATCATAAAATCCTTTGATTTCACTCCTGCTACTTCTGAAGATCTCAATATACCTATTTAAAAAATGTTTTAAGGTATAGGTTTTAGCACAAATGCATTAGAATAAATTAGGTATTGGGTAAAATGCAGTAAAGTTTTTCTACATCTAGATATATAACCCAATTTAAATTGCCTAAATACACAGTAAGTCAACATTTTTATACCTACAAACTTAAATAATTAAATATTTAAGTTTTACATTAAGACAAATGAGTCATTTGAAAGCAATTAATAAAGTAGGAATTTATTTTTAGTTTGTTTCCTTTAGTACATGATAGGTGTTTAAGGAAAATAGGTCATTATACAAAAGCATTCATCAACAACATCCTACAGAGAAATGGAAACAATCTAATTTTAATTTAAGCAAACTATCAGCATTAATTCCCCACCCAAATCTGTAGTTTCCATGTTAAATTTAGGTAATTATCAATTCTTTTAAACTACCCCCAGAAAAATGTTATGGTTACCCCCCCATTTAAGCAAGTGACCCGCAACCCCCAAAAATAAAAATTTAACACCATCCCAAACTCTCCATCCCCACCTGTGCCCTATTCTTTCCTTGTGTTTCCCCAGAGCATTTTCTGCTATCTCCTTTGAAGCAAACTGCACGAAGGCCTCCCCTGTGCTTCTCCCCTGGTAGTCCATCGTCAATGTTATCCCATTTGGCACGATTTCCAACCCTTTAACCCAAGGACAAATACCCCATCAAGGGGAACAGTGTTAAAGGCTGAAACATTCCCATCTGAATCAAATATTTAAAACAAGTCTAAACAAATCAAAACAAAACAAAAAAAAAAGCTTAGTTTCCCATCACCCCGTAATACAAATGGATTATCTGAAATATTATTGGATTAAACTTTTTTGCAACCAGTGTCTTCAAATTATACAACACTCTAAAGCCCACCTATATTACATGAAAAAAAGCTACAAATCAAATTTAACTATGCTCCGAATGCTAATTCATGGTTCATTTCATCACATAATTATTCCCAAATTAATTGTACTGTATATCAGTTAGGTTTCACATATTCTATGCATTCTGTATTGAATATTAAATGGAGCACATTTCATATTTTATATATTTAATGGAGATTATCACAAATTTAAAGTTCCAAAATCAAATGGATTTTATAAATTAAAAACTGAATGAAATAAATTTAAAATTAAAATGTTACTAAACTTTGACTAATACTGGAGGTACCTTGAAAGAACTGAACTATTTCCTCTTTGCTGCAACCAAATGGCAGTCCACGAAGTCGTACTGTCCCATCACTAGCGTCATTTGGACCATTATGTTTCATAACCCAATCCATTTCAATATCCTTTGATTTAAATGCTATAAAAATAAACAAGCACATAAAGCAGTCAATCAAAACATACTCTTCTCAAGAAGTACCTAGAAACACCTCTCAGAAGTGTTACAATAGGAAAAATAAGGTTTAAAGTGACTCATGCAACAATATTCCCAATACAATGGTGTACAAACTTCCTATTTTGGGGTAGGGAAAAGGCAGTGAATTCAAAGCCCTCTAACCAAAAAATCTACTTCTTAGGACCAAATGTTATATATTGTCTAAATCTGAACACATTAAACCATCTTTTAAAAGGGGAAAATGCCCACTTCTAAATCTAGTTTAAATACTCCTCAAGAGTAAGAGTTTTAAGTGACTGAGTTAGTCTGACTTTTAAAATAAAGGTAAAAGTGATGGCAAGCTGCACATGGTAATCCCAGAAAGACCCAGATTTTCAAGCCAGCCAAGGCTACACAGCAAGACCCTGTGTGAAAGCCTTCCAACAATATAACCCAGTTTAATCACTGCTTTATCTTTTCTATTGATTTAAACAATTTTTTAAAAAGCAGTGAGTTCTCCTTTCCCTCCCAAATCAACCTGGTCACCCATTCAGTTCTCTTTCCCATAAGCAACCATCCTTTCTTTGAAAATTCCAGAACATTTTCAAAGAGGCTAATGCTTAAGTCTTTCCTTCAGTTGCAGAAACTTACCATACCTTACAAATCTCACTATGCAGCTGTAAAATCCCACTCACCTTAACATTTCAAATCTTTCCCTCACCACCTCCTCCCCTGTGAACAAAGCAATTTGTTCACTCGATTCCTTTATGCTTGATCCCAATGATCTAATTATCAGCACAACTTCAACAAAGATTTAAATTTCCTTTCCTCGAATTCACGCATTAAAATAAGCAAATGTAAAAATTCTCCCCAAGTGGGTATTAATCTCTCCATGTGAACCATCTTCAGTGCCTGTGTTTTTGTGTACTAGGAATATCAAAGGCTTATACCACTGAACTACATCCTCACTTGATCTCCTGAAAGCTAAGATCCTAGGTGCCACTCGACAGAGAACCAGAATCAGAAGAACATTTTTATAACTAGCCTTGCAACTAATTCTTGCACACAAACTACTAATATGAACCCAAAAAGAAACCCTATTCTGCCATTTACTAGTTACTTAAACTACTTAACTTCTGAGCCTATTAAATTATAAGACAGAACAGAAGATACCTACACCTCACTTACACTGTTCAAAGAGTTAAAGTGCTTGTCTGCTTCAGGATAAGCATCACCAGTGGCAATGATTGATAAGATATACCACAAACAAAATATCTGAACCTTAAAGGAAATAAGGACTATTAAAACAAGTATTTTACCAAATCAACAAAGCAGTTTTTAAAAGTTTAATACTATTCTAGAGAGTAGCCCTGAACAAAGGCCCCAATTCAGTTTGAGAGGGAAAAAGTTCAGAGGTATTGTAAGAGTTCAATAATTTTCCTTAAAAAATTTTTTAAAGTATTCCAACAAAGGGCAGAAAAGATTAAAAAGTGGAAAGGATGTAACATCAAATATTACTTCCTCATGAAAATCATAAGAACTCTAAAAATTCAGTCCAGGCTGACTTTGAGCCTGCGATCATCGCATCTCTATCAAGGAATGCTGGGATTACCAGACAGCACCATATTAAAAGTTCAGACGTTCTTTTTTCAATGTAAAGATGAATTCAACATATAAATTTTTATTTCAGTAGCAAATAACAAAAAAGATGTTAATTGGTTTTACTGTAAACCTTAGCATTTCACAAGAAAATATCAGCAAGCAAACTAGTTTTTAGGATCAGCTTGTACCATTGAGAAAATTCTTATGAAAATAAAAGTATCCTACAACAAATTACAACAGTCAACACAATTTTTAATTGGGGAAAAGTTAACCAAATCCGGAACACTAACCATTTTATAGAATAACTTTCCATCCCATGTTATGCAGACTACATAATAAAAAGATGGTCTTGCTTTAGTATCCCTTCAAAACTCAAGTTTGGAATTCTACTTAGAAACTCTACAGGCAGGGCTGGTGAAGCAGCTCAAGTGGTAGAGCACCTGCCTACCTGAGTACCAAGCATTATGTCCTGAGTCCAAACCCCAGCACAGCAAAACAAACAAAAAACCCTCTAAAGGCAATGTACTCTAACATCTTAATAAAACTGTCCAAAATAGTTTACTAATTATTCAGTATAATCCACCTCAACCTTTCTTTGCAACAATTTCATGACTAATCACTACTTTGCTTTAAGAATTTCAAGAGCTGCCAGGTGTGGTATGTGTCTGCAGGACCAGTTAGGAGGCTGAGGGAGGATGGCTCCAGTTGGGAATTCTAGGATAGCCTGAGCAACATAACCAGAATTTATTTCAACACCGGCCCCCCCACTGCAAGTGTCAGCACCAATGAGAAACACCAACAGTTGGAATGATTTTTTGTCAATTTCATGTGAGATTTTAAATATATTTTCCTAAGAACCCAGTCACAAAATACTGCAGATTGTAATCTATAGTGTGGCTAAGGCTTGAAAATGAGGCAGCTTGCTAGCGTTGGAACGACTGCCACAAGTGCTTTTTGGGATGATAAAAGTTTGTTCAAAAAAAGTTTGTTGTGAGGTCCTGAGTTCAAGCCCTAGCATAACCAAAAAAAAAAAGAAAAGTTAAGATTGTAGTGGTAGTCTGACAAGTCGTTATAGGTACTAAATCACACTGATAGGTACATTTTAAATAGAAGTTAGTTGTAAATGAAATGTGCCATAAAACTGAGGCATCAAGTAATAAAGAACTACAATATATTACTCATAACCTGAAGGGATATTGTATCTTTTCAGGTATAAAGCCTAAAGACATGCTAGTCACTTAATGATCAAACCAAGGACACAGAAAGGTAACAACACTGTTATTTTAAAAAGGGAATTATATGGATTTCCACATTATAACAGATGAAAAAGTGGGCAAAGAAATGTCCGCAGTTTAATGCAATAAGGAAAGTTTTTAGTCATCACATTACTGCTTCAGAGGAAATTCTGGGTTATCTGCCTTTACAAAAACCACTAAAAACCTGTTACGAGTAAGATTCTGGTAAACTTTTCCTTGTCAATCTTGAAAAAGTATACAGAACATCAACAACAGGCAATAAAGTTTTTTGTTTTTAAAGCTGGAAAAGGAGGGCAAGACTTTTGTAATGATTTATGCGCATCACTGCAAACTAAATTCTCAGACCTTGCGTGTCCCTTTTGTATTGTTTTCAATGAAAATTACCGGTGGAGTTCTAGTATAAGGACCCAAACCAAAACACACAACCCCACCCCGCGCGCGATTAGGCTCACACATCTCTAACAGGCTTATTTGCTGATTCGAAATACCATTCTAACCCTATACTAAAAGAAAAACACGCTCAGCTACCAAAAGAAAACTAGCTGTATTTCCATTTGACTCCCGGCCTTAAAGCAAGAACACCCCCCCCGCACAAGTCTTGCAGACTTATTACCGGAAAGTTGTTCAGCAATTCTAGGACATGCACACATTTTCTGACATCAGTGGTGTTTTAAGCAGTTGCTTCCCAGAAGGAAGCTCCTACTCGAGTCCCATCCAAGTGCCAAACTACCGAAGCCCGCTGCGGCCACCCGCCCCACCCCGCCGTCCAAAAAAGCGGCCCCGCACATCCCCGGGCCCACTCACGTCCTAGGAGAAGCCACCCACTTCTCTGCTCGCGAAAGTACTCACAAAGCCTTTGTGAACGTTTACGCGAGAACACCGCGAAAAGCCTTTGTCAGCCGGTACGTACTTGTCGAGGTTCCGAATGCGGACTACAAGGCCGGCTAAGCGTCCTTTCTCCCCCGCAGGCTTCCTCGCCAGCGGCCCTGGGGACCAGAGCGCCAGGGAGAGTACGCCCCTTCCCCCTCCCGCCCGGCGGCCAGGCCGGGCTTAAAAACCTGCGCCAGCGGGCGGCGGAGTGACAAAGGAGGTCGTCCCTCCTTTGTCCTGGACTGGGACTTGCGCGCCTTCGTCGCCATTGGCCTCCTCCCCCAGCTCCAGCCTCTCTCATCCTGCGATCTGCGTCAGAAGTCACTCGCAGTCCTGCCAGCCCAGGTAGCCCTGCCGAGACTGCGGAGGGAAGGGAGGCCGCGGTGGGAGGCCAGGCCCGTTCGGCGCCATTTCCATCGGGAGCGCGCCCGACAGCCCCGGTCCTCTCCGCGCCCCGCGGCCCAGCCTTGCCCTGCTCGCTGCGCTCCCCACCCTCATCCCTTCCGGGGAGCCCTGGCCACCCCCACCCCTGGCCTTCCAAATCAGTTTTTCGAAGTGGGAAACAAAAAGTACAAAGAGCGGGGAAGGGCGGGAAGGCGAGGTGTCCGCGCCACCGAACCCAAAATGGCGGAAGCCAAACCAGCAGGGAAAGGGGAGGAACTGCTGGAAGCCCCCCACCTCGGGCCTCGGCGTCGTCCACTGAGCTCCACCTGGGCAAGACCTCCCCTCGGCAGGCCGCCCTCCGCGAAGTGGGAGATCGCCCGGGAGGCGCAGCCGGCCGCCTCCGAGAGGCGACCTCCACACTTCCCCCACCCCTCCCGGCCTTCTCCCGACTCCGCTCGGCACCGCCAGCCCAACCTACCCCCTTTTACTTCAGATACCCTGTCGGGCGATAGTAACACCGACTCCGGGCTCGCGGCGTCGGGGCGGGAGCAGGGATAGATGGTCCTCCCGCTGTAGCGCTCCCCACAACGGTTTTTCCAACCGTCTTTGGCGGTGGCAACCGCTAAGGAAGCTGCGCAGCACAGCTACTGCCTTGGGGGATGGGAGGGAGCGAGCGAGGAGGAGGGGGTGGAGCAAAGGCTATGGAGACCGGCCGCTCTGTTCTCGCGAGATGAGACCGGCAGTTCCGCCTTGGCGCGGGCGGAACGAAGTGCGCTTGCGCAGTGCTGGGCTGACCGGCTGAGGACGAGGTAGAGGGAAGTGCAGGTTGGTTCGGTGAGAGAAAGCGATGTGTTGACTCCGTTTTTCTTGCTTACCTCATAATCACCCAATTCTCAGAGCCTTCCTTTCTGCCCGCTTCGGGAGGATGTGAGCGGCAGTAGCAGCCTTGCTAGTGAGTTTTGAAGAAACGGCAGTAGCAGCCTTGCTAGTGAGTTTTGAAGAAACTGTAGTGTCGTAGTTTGGAAGAGTTCTGCTCTGCCTGCTCCACCGCGAACAAATCCCATAAAAGGCTCCGCCCGTAACCCAGTGTAAAAAGAGCGCCACGTGGTTCGATAGCTAAACCCGGAGAAGCTTTTTCTACTCTCCCATGTTTGCATTATTGGAGTTAAAAAAAAAAGTTTTCTCTGCTGCGAAGATACAAAGTGTCTACCAGGCTCTTTTCCGCTCAGGATGTGGGTCTCCTCCTCTCCTCCATCCTATCCCCTGGAGATGCAGGCCGCCCTCAGCAGGTTCATGCGAGCTCGCTGCGCAGGGATGAGAGTTTGGAGGACCCGGGCTACTTGTTAGATTACCTCGCTATGGTGTTTCTCTGTTAAAATCTCAGTGACCCAACAGCGGCTCATGGCGGCAGGCTTGAGCTGTTGCCTAAACAGCCTGTATATCCTGACAGTTGTGCTTATAAGTGACACCTAATAAATGTTCTTTGCTTGTGCTCTCATGCACAAAAGTTCCTAATGAACGTTACTGTTGGCAATAATGGCGCCGATAGGTTTCAGTTCTTACTGCACCCTTAAGCTTCTGTTTTCCAGGGTCACGGTCCTGACTCCCAGGGTCACAGTCCTGCCTCAAGTCTAGCTTGAATCCTCCTTCTGCCCCCAACCTCCAATCAGCATGAACCATAAGATCCTAACCAACCAGATCATGCTGAGTCCTACTGAGGGGTATTTAAGCCCTTGCCCCTCCTGCTTCTCTCTCTTGGTTCTCTCTGCTCTCTCCCTCTCCCACCCAGCAATAAAGAATCTCTTGGCCAGATCACTCCTCTCCACGTGGTCACTTTTGGGGCCTATATTTCCTTACAGTTACAGCCTTTTGTTTTTGCTAGGTTTTAGACCAAATTTTCATGGGACTAGTGGAGGGCAATAGTGGTAAAAGACATGAGATGTGGCCAAGGGCCGGTGGTTTACGCCTGTAATCCTAGTTACTCAGGCAGAGAGAGGAGGATCGCGGGAAGATCAAAGCAAGTTAAAGTGGAAAGCAAAGGTAGCATAGAAGGAGCTGAATTTAACCACAGTGGAGCGATCCCAGAGGATGGGAATGACTGTAAATGTGGAGGAAGCTAGGTTGTTAATCAACTTTCAATGTCCAGCGCAAAGATTTTGGACTTTGTTACAGACATTGAGAAGTCCATTAGGTGTGGAGTGCACAGGAATGTGGAGTGTAGAGAATTTTTTGCCCTTGAGAAACCTGTAGTGTATAGGATGGAGTCAGGAGACCAGTTATTACCATCAGGTAATGGAAGCTTCCATCCCAAAGCTTTAATCTTCAAACCTGCTTAAGATCTGTGTGAATTAAGGCAGTAAGAATTGCCTGCTTCATAGTGTCCTAATGGTATTGTTTTAGCCCACTCCTCCAAATACTCAGAGGAATGGGGAAAGGGAGAGTATGAGCTTCATCACAAGACAGAAAATCTAGAATGTAACTATAGCTCACTTTCACTGAGCACTAACTACTTGGGAGGCTGAAATATGGAGGATTGAGGTTCGAGGCCACCTGGAGCAAAAAGTTTAGGAGACCCCATCTCCTAAACTGCGGTGAAATGGTGCGGTTGCCATCCCAGCGATAGCAGGAGGCGTAAAGTAGGATTGTGGTCCAGGAAGGCCTGAGCAAAAAGTGAGACACTGTCCAAAGTGACCAGACTAAAAATGGCTGGAGGCGTGGCTAAAGCGGTAGAGCATCTGTCTAGCAAGCGTGAAGCCAACCCCATACCGCCAAAATGATAAGTAAATTTAAAAAAAAAAATGCTGTATTAGCAAACTCCCACAGTCCAAATGGAGTTCTTCCTTTGCTCCTTCTAAGGGTTTAGGTTACATGGCTGTATTATCCTTTCAGTCTTTCAACCTGACTTGGTAGGTGGAATTCTATAATCCCTTCTTGTATTCAGACTGTGTAGTGCCTGATTGAATTCAGCATTCTTTTCACATACTCTGTGTAATTATGGGCTGTAATCCTAAAATCATCATGAGTGACTTTTCACCACTGAACTGCGATGTTTCTATTTTTGTTTTGGGGGGGTGCATAATTTCTTTGCATGGGGCACTCTTTGCCATTGTGAAGATTAGGAAGTCCTTGGAATTAGTCCATACATTCCTTTTGCCTTTTTGTTATTACAGAAGTAGGAAGTTTTGAGTTAACTACATTATGTAGTGGTAAATACAATCTTTATTTGGCTTCCTATTTAAAAAAAAACAAATGCCAGTTCCCTGTCTAAGTTGAACCCTGTAAGGCTTTAAGGCTGGGTGGCCTGGTTCACTGCTGCTGTTAGGGTAAGAGGCTGGCCACCTTCTGAGAGGACAAAGGACACTCGAGACAAAGGAGGTCACACGGCGAGGTTTATTTCTAGCCGGGCTAGGGTCCAAGCATCCGCCTGATGCAGCAGGTTTCAGCAAGGACCCTGAGAGAAAAGCTTAAGCAGATCTTATACTCTTTAAAGCATCAATCATCGTCACATAGGAATTCCTCATGCCCCTGGGGTCACATTTTCCTGATCTTGCCCACATCCTGATCTTGCCCACATCCTGGTGGTGGGGTAATATTATTTATTGGGAACTGGGGAAACACCAGAGGCTTACTTATCAGGTTACAAGGAATGTGTTCTCCCATAAATTAGGGGCTAGTAGTGGAATAGAAACCTAAGGTTTAGATAAGAACAGCAGGGAGTCCTGCTTTGGAAAGTTTATTTACAAGTGGAGACAAAGAAAGGCAGGGATGGGTGCTTATCTCTGCATGATGCCTTTTATCTCAGTCCCGAACTCTTGCATGGCTCTAATGAGCAATTCCTCACAGCTCTGTCCGAGGTTACAGCTTTTAATTGACAGTTTACCATGTTTTACAACCCTGTTTCAAGGCTATCTTCCTCTTCACGAGGTTACCCAAGGGTCATGCCAGTTATAGCTGATTTCTAGGCTAGGTGGGCTGCCAGTTAATGGCCCCAACATTCCCCCCTTTAGATGTTCATAACGAGGAATCATGTTCATTTGGATGATATGCGTAAATATTTTCAGGGCTAGGTAGCCCTTCATATTGTCTCAGGACCATGAGTTGGACTGTGCTAACTCGATCTTTTATGAAGGTCACTAGCTTATTCAGAATGCATGGGCCGAAAGTTAGGATAAGCAGCAGTATAACCAAGGGACCCACCAGGGTGGAGACCAAGGTAGTAAACCAGGGGGACTTATTGAACCAAGCTTCAAACCACCCTTCTTGGGCCTCTCTTTCCTGCTTTCTTTTTGCCAGTCCTTCCCTCACTTTAGACATAGACTCCCTAACTACTCCTGAATGATCAGCATAGAAACAACATTCCTCCCCTAAGGCTGCACATATTCCCCCCTGCTGAAGGAACAATAAGTCTAGCCCCCGACTGTTCTGGAGTACTACCTCAGATAGGGAGGTAAGAGATTTTTCTAGGTGACTAATGGAGGCTTCTATTCTCTCTAGGTCCTCGTCTATGGCTGCACGCAGCGAGGACATGCCACTATGTTGAGCAGCCAGGGATGCTATGCCAGTTCCTGCTCCGGCCACTCCTAGGCTAAGTAGGGTAGCAATGGTTAATGCAGAAATAGGCTCTCTCTTTTTCCTCTCACCTGTTCCTGTATTCCAGTATGAATATAGGCTCTCCTCAGAATGATAGATGATGCGGGGCAGCACAATCACTAGGACACAGAATTCCCTGGAGCCGTTAAAGACATTAGTCGATAGGCAAGGGGTGAGCCCAGACTGTGAGCATATCCACCATCCATTGTCTTTTGGAATTACCCACTTAATACCATCGCCCCAGCTGGGGTTGATATCTACAACAGCACATAGGTCCTGTTTTCCCGCCGGCACCTTCCCTAAGCAGGTTCCTTGGCTGCTCATTTGTTGTATGGTCAGACCTCTCTTACGGTTTCCCCAGGAACATTGAGTGGGGTTTTCACTAGTCGAGACATTGTAGGTGGCATTTAGTCCTATTGCCTCATGGAATGGGGGCCTCACATCATAGCACAGCCAGCAGGAGGTAGTCATATTAGGGCTGGTGTGGTTCAATGTTAGGAATGCGGCATTTACCAAATTCCAAAGGGGGGGTCCATAGACCCGGTCATAGGGCTGGGCCTTCCCAGGGAAGTGCCAGTTCCTAGCGGTCCTGGAGATGTAATACTAGCATTTGTGTGAGGTCGGGAAGGGACCGGGGTTGTGCAAGGTCGGGGAGGCGGCTCCACATAGGGCGGCTTAATTACTTTATTGGGGCCTATTGCCCGAGTAGGGGTGGATTGCTGTGTGAGCTGGATGGTAAATAGGGCTCCCTGGTCTCGGGCCCTGAGCCTCATCGGGTCATAACGGCGAATCCCCCAGATGAAGCCTGATATCGATTGTCAGCTTTACCTTTTTCTGTAAATTTGATTTTTACAAGGTCACAGCGAGGCTTCCAGCGGCTTCTTTGTTCTGTAATACAGCCCTTAGACATGGTAATTAGGTCTGTTTTTTCAGGGGGAGGCCACCAGATGTTGCCAGTGGACACACAGGACCAGGAAGCGCAAAAATAATTCGATGCCCCCCTGTACTGTTTACTATTACTTTTACCTTTTAGGTGTCCTGGGCAGACATAAAAGTTATCCTTCAGAATCCCCGCACAGGCCACCAGTTTTGTCAGATCAAAAGTTAAATCAGGGAACCAGACGTTGGGAGGGGTCACCTTGGAGGTCCCCTGTGGATGTATCTATGACCACCCAGGTGAGGTGGTAGGGCTGGTGGGGATTAGGGTTCTGGGCAGGTCCCACCCAGCATAGACACAGAAGGCTTAGAATGCGTAGGAGGAATTTTATCATCTTGCTGGCTAATGGGCCTTGGGGTCTGCCCTGGTCCGGAGGTTACTGCAGGGAGGTGTTGAAAGTCACGTGGAGAGTTGCTCTGTACGTCTCCTGGGCCGGACGAGCTTCAGCTTTAACGGATTAT